AACCCTAGGCCCTTCGCCCCAACACTTAAACAGAGAAAACCTAAAGCCTGAACGGCGGGATGGCTCTGAGAAAAACAGGGTTTAGGATTCCGGATATGTTTCGAGTCATGCCAAAACTTCACGCCTGATTCTGCTACTTGGAGGTTCCTGGGTAGTTAGTTATAAGTGGGGTTATAAGTCGGGCAACTATAGTTATAACTCCTATTAGGGGGCTTATAACCCTACTTATAACTAACCATGAACCTCCAAGTACTGTTGCACCCTTCGCCGAAGCCCGGAGTCCTAAGCCCTAGAAGCCAGAAAGTTGGAATATGATTATCCTAACCCCTTTATGGTAAATTATAGGGGATCCTGCCATTAATCCATATTCCAACTTTCTGGAGTTCCCTTAAAGCCCTAGACCCTAAACCCCTAAACCCTTAAACCCTAAACCCTAAACCCCTAAACCCCTAAACCCTTAAACCCTAAACCCTAAACCCCTAAACCCTTAAACCCTAAACCCCTAAACCCTTAAGCCCTAAACCGGAGTCCTGTCTTCTGGGGCCTCTGCGCTGGGCATCGGCAAGGAAACCTCGGGGGCGAGGGGAGGGGAGGATAATATAGAGGAGCCTTAATAATTAGAGCAGGGTTCCCGTTAAAGGGGTCTATAAGGGTTACTATAAGGGATCGATAAGGGTAGTATAAGAAAGGGGCCTTAATAATTAGAATAGGATTTGGGGGTATAGTAGACTATAATTAGAATACGGAACCCCCCAAAACAGTATAGCTAATTTTTAAGGCCCCTACATTAACCGGCAGCACCGTCGCAGGGCTTTCCGGTTTTCGGCTGTGGTTTCGGATCTTAGCTCTAGGGTTTTGGATTTTGGGCGTAGGGATGCGTAGGGACAGTCTAAGGGCGAGGGCGTGGGAGTTAGACCTGTGGGGCATCAGAGTTGGGGTCGCTGGCACGAGCCAACAGGACTGTGTGCGAGGATCTCTGACACCCTGTGAATCGGAAGCCGATGGCTCAGTCACCGCGGACATCAGTCCTACCCTTCTACACACCAATGCTTGCAGCAGCAGCAGCAGCAGCACCAGGAGCAGGAGGAAGCCGCAGCATGCAGCCAAAGGCTCTGTGCTTGGGGCCTCTGGCAATGAGGCCCGCGCTACACTGCAACTGGAAGGGAGATGGTTCATGCACGAATTCCACTCACATCCTTGCCCTAAGCACCGCACCGTTCCCGGGGTGGCTGCTGGGGCCGGCATTGACCCGCCTTATTCCGTGTCATTCATGATGCTCCGCGGAAAGATAAAACATCTGCTACCGATTTCGGCCCATCAATGTACTGAGCCCTAATTAAACCCTAATCCCCTAAGTGAGCTATTGGTATCTGGTACCCTCGAGGGAAACTTAAATCAGAGCAACTGTCAGCAAGCCTGAAGCCTCGTCAGCAAGATGTGAATCGGCACGGATTAGGATTTAGGCTGATTTAGGCTTTAGGGAGTAGGGTTCAGGGTTTAGGGCTGGAGGGTTTAGGTCTTAGAGCTTTTAGGGTTTAAGCGGTTGTTTTGGCATGGTTCAAAGCAACTTTCGCAGCAACAGTGAGTTAGTGGCGAGGCAGCGACTGACCTTCCACAGAGTGCATCGGAAATTCATTTGCTGTTACCTACAGTGGAGTCTAGTTTTAAACAGTCTATAAACTGTCTTTATACATGCATACATAGATCCATCGAGGCATGTATGCACGCATGTACGTATGTATGCAATCTGGGTACGAATCCTGCCGACGCCGAGAGTCTCAGCAAGGATCCTTCCCGACACAGCAATCCCCGCACCTCAACTCATCACCAGCACAACCCTCTATCCGCCTCAAACCCGAAAAGTCAAATACCAAACCCTAAAACGGCAGCTACTACTGTAATGCTGAACTTTAGAACCCAAAGAAAAACCGAACTACTGAAAATTATGATTTGCAGCACCCGGCTGCAAGCGTGCTCTTCACTTCAACTGGCATGGCACATCTTGCCTGACGCAGGCAGACTGCGACAGATTCCGAGATGCACAAGTAGTACTGAGCACCAATAAACCAAAGACTAAATCCACCCAAACCTGAATGCTAAGTCCCATACGGGTGGTTGTCAAAATTAGGGTCCCTTTTAATACGGCACCTTATATATTTAGGGTACCCAAAAAGGGACCATAAGTTTTACAACCACCCAGACAGCGTGCCCTGAGCCGCAAAGCCCCGAAACCCTTCGAAGGGGATGTGGATGTATCACACGGCACTGTCGGACATCCTCACTTGCAAGTGTTTGCCCGAAACCCTGAGCCCCTAGCCCCCCTAAACCCTAAACCCTTAACCCCCCCTCCCCCACCACGCAAAAAGCCATAGGAAGCAAAGCCCTCGACCGGCTTCCATGGCCTCGGGACGGAGGTTAGGGGGATTTCAAGGCTCGTGAAGTGGTTTCTAAGGGGGTTTGGGTTTAGGGTTTAGGGTTATTGAGAAATTCTTGACTGGGAGGAGAAAGGTCTGGGATCGAAGGATCTGGCCGTTTCAGGGGCTTGGGATTGAAGGATTCGCTTGCTCGGAGCGCTTCCTTAGGAGTTGAAGGCTTGTCTTCAACGGTGTGGGACAGGGCTTGGTAACTATGTAGGATTTTGGGGCTCGCGTGCTGCATGCTTTTGGGTGTCAGCTGTTTACGCACTGCAGTCCGGCCATTACCCTAAGGTTCCAAAGGACCCAATAATTAGGTAGTCGGCTTTAGGACGGTAGCTATGTAGGTTAGGATTTTGGAAAGTATATGATGATTAGGTACTTGGACCCTTGGGGTTACACCAAGGATGCACTTGTAGGGCTGGGCGATTGAGGGATTGAGCCAGCAGGTTGGTTTCAGTAACTTAGTATGCGAAAGGGGGCGGTAGCCGCACATCGGGCACTACTACTTGTAGCTGCCATAAGTCTACATCCTATTCACCGCAATCCATGACCCTTAAACTGCCAGATGTCAAGTTCTATAGCGGCATCCATATCGTGCCGCGACGATGCAGCCTTACTGAATCCACCGGATGAGATCAAGAATGCTAACTAAGATCCAAAAAGAAGAACAGACCCCTCTTCACCCAAAGCCTCGCACAAGCCACACCACTTCGTTCAAATCGGCGCCCAATAAATCGGACGTCAAAACCCGCAACCCCAAACCGGAAGCGCAGCTTGGGCGGCTGCCGGGGTGAAGACTGAATAGTTGCCCTCGGCGCTGTGGAAAGTCGTCGTGGTCCCGATGTGCGTAACCTGACAGATCTTTGGGTCAATGATGTTCGAATGAACAACAGTAACAACAGAAGGTAAGCAGTGAAGCAGTAGTAGTAGTAGTAGTAGTAGTAGTAGCAGTCGCAGCAGTCGTAGCAGTAGTAGCAGAAGTAGTAGTGGTGGTAGTAGTAGTAGTAGTAGTCAGAAGAAGAAGAAGGGTAGTAGCAGCAACAGTGCCCGTAGCAGTAGCAGAGTGGGAGCAGGAGCAGTAGCAGCAGGACTAGGATAAGAGAAAAGAGTAGTAGCTGCAGTCGTCGTCGTAGTAGTCGTGCATAGCAGTAGCAGTAGTAGTAGTAGTAGTAGTAGTAGTAGTAGTAGTAGTAGTAGTAGTAGTTGTAGTAGTATCAGTAGTAGTTAGTAGTAGTACTAGTAGTAGTAGTAGTAGTAGTAGTAGTAGTGATAGCAGTATAGTGACTGGGTAGTAGCAGTGTAGTAGTAGTAGTAGTAGTAGTAGTAGTAGTAGTAGTAGTAGTAGTAGTGGTGATAGTAGTAGTAGTAGTAGTAGTAGTAGTAGTAGTAGCAGTAGCAGTAGTAGTAGTAGTAGTAGCAGTAGCAGTAATAGTAGTAGTAGTAGTAGTAGTAGTACTAGTAGTAGTAGTAGTAGTAGTAGTAGTAGTAGTAGTAATGGGAGTAGGCGTAGGACCTGGGAGTAGTAGTAGTCGTCGTCGTCGAAATAGTAGGTAGGAATCGGAATAGGCGTAGGAGTAGGCGTAGGTGCAGTTCAGCGGTAAGGTAGTTGTAGCGGCTGTAGCGGTAGTGGTCACGCAACCCCACCCGGAATGAGACGCGGTAGGGAACTGGGCTCTGGAACAGGACTGCAAAAGGAAGCAGTATGGAGCAGTGCTGCAGATTCGCGTGGCTTTGGGGCAAATTAGATTGCATGCCAATTTTACCAACTGCGTGTAGCCAGGCCCTCGTATTCATTCGCAAGTCCCGAAATCCAGGCTAAGGATCTGTACTATATATATATATATATGTATAAGTGCATACATATATATATAACACAGCCTATAGGTAGATACTTGTACATTCATACCGTTAGTACGTCTACGCATACAAACGTAAATGTACATGTATACGAACTGTAACATATGAAGCAAGTCCTTCCTGAAAAGCAGCCAAATATGTGTGTGTATATATATATATATGTCCAACCAACCCCGGCTAGTCTCAATTGAGTCGTTGCAAGGCTTAACATCTCACAGCCGGCCATTGAACCACGTCCCGGGAAGCCATGATCTTGACAAGTCAAAACTGACTAAACCTATCTGAAGACTATCTTAAACCTATCCGAAGCCTGTCTAACATATCTCAAGCCTATCTCAAACCTCTGCGACCAGGAACCGCATCCGACGGGTTCATTTTCAATCCAGTTTGCAGACGATTCATGGACCTTTGGTTGTGCGAGTCTACAATAGCTCGCTGGTCAATGCTCCATGAAGCAGCTTTCACACTCCGTGCCACCCAGCCAACTAACCGCAGGCCCTCTGCAAAAGAGACACTCGCCTTCCTTTTCGCTGTCTTCCTGATCCTTCATTTTCATCCTGTCCGGGGTCGTTTGCACGCCCACTGCAACCGCCAGGCTTCCTGAAAAGGAACGTGGCTCCAGAGGGAAGAACAGGTAGGAGAGAATCAACTGCCGCGCAACGTTGGGTAGAATCCCTGCCACTCTGACGCCCCTCCACCTGCTGATAACCCTGCTCACGATGCATCCTAATGGCTCATCGGCTTCGTCATCCGCAAGTGAGAATCTGTTGTGGTTTTGGAAAATAGGTGGCGAGCTTCCCACAGGCAACTCGAAGGAACTGCAGCCGTCCTGCATGCTTGATGTATGTCTCCTGGATAACATTGGCCCTGATCCCAAGCTTGCAGAACTTCCTCGGGAAGCTCAACTTCTTCCACCCGATCATAGACCGCACCAGCATCAGCGATTGTAGTGTCGTGCTGGGGGTCAGAGAGATAGCCCCCATTCTCAATGGTCACCGGCATCCCGTTCTTATCCACCATGCAACCTCCTCTGGGCCAGAACACACTGGACAGGAACACTGGCCGTTTCTCGATAGTCCAGAAGCATAGTCGAAGGCAACATTCTTGCTCGGTAACCTTGTCTCTGCGGAAGTTTCCGCCAACCATCTCAACGTACACCTCCAAGAGTCGATTGGACTCCTCAGCTCCAGGAGATTTCTGAATCTCGATGGTGAGTTTCTCCTTCAACGAATGGAAGATGCCTGTCTTTGGATGCCGGCGCAGGTTGAAGCAAACCTGGTACACGGGCAGGGTGTCGAACGCTCGTTCCGGTTGAAAGCCTAAGGCGTGTCCGGACATCATCTCCTGCACCGCCTCATCTGTGTTGCTCACGAGGGCTATGGAAGAATCGTCAGAATCCATAGCCCTGAACTCCAGCTCCAGCTCTTGCTCTCTTACCAGCATCTGGTTAAAGGGCCGTGCGAGTGCATCCAGCTTCTGGCGCATGGCCTCTGGCGGAATCATTGCCATCATTGAAGTGGTTGCAAGCAAAAGCCCTGCGGATTGCGCAGGACGCTAGACGCTCTTAACTTCTTGACACCGTCGTTAATCGTGGCATATCGCGGCAGTTGCTGTGGCGATCTCTGTTCCCGTGGTTAAAGGCCTGTGCCCTATGTGCATATCAACAGCATGGATCCCCAGCTCAAACGTCCAGTCTGATGCCGGAGACTGTGACACACTTGCCTTTATGGAACATCTACAGGAAACCATTGTGTTGACATGCTTATTTCTCAAGGCTGATGAGCCTGACGACGGATTCAAGAAATCACTTCTACGCCAAAAGAAGACTAAACAATCACTCAACAGATGTTGGAACTCAAAAAAGAATATATATATATATATATATATATATATATATATGTATATATACATAAATATATATATATATATATAGATTTTTATATACATATATATATATATATATGTATGGTCACCCCCCCCGTTGACAGACCATGCCCTTTCAACTCAGTCGTAGTGCATGGTCTGTGATCGGGGGGAGGGGGGCATATGTATATATACATATGTATACATTAAAATTGTTTATATATCTATATATATGTTATGAATTAGTTTAGACATTTTATATATATACACACATACATACAAAGCTATATAATTACGTATATACAAGAGTTACAAATGCTTAGATATGCCATCACCACTGAACAGCTTTACAACATATTCCCAGTTTTCAATTCCTTGAATTTGTCGGGCCTTGCCGGTACTTCTCGCAGGCAGCGTCTGGGTCTGCCCGGGCACGTCGATTGCTGGGGTTGGAGTTCAGCGTTGATCAGGAGTTGAGGATTTAAAAGGTCAGAAAATGTAAGGATTAAACCTTATTGAAAAGAACCTGCGCAGCGTGAAAACTTAGTGCGGAGGCGTGGAGGCAGCTCACAGCCGCAGTCGATCCACTACGTGATTTAGCTGGGGAAAGTTCACACTGGGGTAGGGGTCTGGGATTTAGACAGTCTGGTCTCGGCTCTAGGGTTGGCGTTTCAGATCGGGGCTGTCGCGGGCCAGCTAAAGCGGGAGCTCCTAAGTTCCCGCTTGCTCCTGAGAGGTCGGGCCTAGCACCGAAGGGAAGACCTCATCTGCGTCCAAACCGTAAACAAGGACTCTTCCGAGATTCTTGCACTTCAGACATCGTCTTGAAGAACACCCTAAAACATGGTCAAATGAAGGGCTCAGCGATCGTAAGTTCTGCGCAAAGGCAGCGGCGAGTTTTAAACGACGCACAAGTCTCGTGGTGCTTGCCGTGCCCTGCTGCAGTGGCAGAGCTCCATCCTGCCGACGGAAATGCCTCGCACGAGCAGAGCCTCGATTTTTTTGATTAGGAATAACAATGAGATATGTCAGCAATGAAAACATGCTGTAAAATTCGATATCGTGGAAGACCCGACGAAGATACTAGCTGCCTGCAAGAACACCAACAGCAACATAGCACTGTAGTAACACAGATAATAAACAGGGCGAGCGCCATCACCAGAAATGTCGATCATCGTGATATCATGCTGGCTGGCCTGGCTATTCGACAGCCTACTCATGCATATTCTCCTGCGCATCCCGGAGTTAGGGTGAGTCTGGCTTTGCAAGGCTCGGGGTCAAGTGCTCGCCATTCCCGTCTAGCATCGAAGCAATCAGTTGCGGCTGGGCATCGTCGGAAGATCATGTGCGAAACCGACATCGTCAAACTATCCGGCCCAGACGCGAATCACCCCCGCCTGAAAACACCACGACCGCTAGAGCGAGCCTGCATCATCCGCCCGCAGGCAAGAACATCATGTGCCAGACTCAACGTCGAAAGTCTTACTGAACGCTTCTTACGGGTCACACAGGGTGCTGTGAGGACCTTTATAATCTACGTTAGGTCCGACCTAACATTTATCTTCTGGCACCTTTGCATGAACCTACGTGCTTTTCACGCGTAGCAACTGGGCAAATCCTCCTGAGAGCTCAGTGTACAGCTGTCAACCCGGGTTAATTCAGGCATATTGAGGACTTGGTGTTTCTCTCTAAAGAAAGGACTGCTGATGTAACGAGTATCTTCTGTCAAGGTCCTGTGGTCTTGTGAACATCTGATGATGTCTGATGCGTGGCCGAATGCAAAGCCCCAGTTCCGTTAGCCCCGTTAAAAACGCGATTTGTGTAAAGGTCCGAGTTCTTTGGCAATACATGCGAACATTGTGTAAATTGCTTAAATGCCTGGACTTGCAGGGTTCTTGCTGTACTGTATACAGACTTGAATCACCAACTCTTCAGGCCCACCATTCGCCGATTTGTTGCCCAGCCCATTGCGGTGTCCAAAAAACTCAAACTCTCGGCACCTTGATCTCTGACATCAGCAACTCTTTGCGTGGGTCGCACCCAATACTCAGCGCTGCCGTAAATACCGTGCCCTCTTGACATCCCATCTTTGGCTGACTCCTTCAACCCTGCGTCCAAGAGAAAGGTTCCCAAGCTACCACTACTGCGACTGATACGGCTGCTACTACTACTACTACTACGACCACTACTACTACGACGACCACTACTACTGCTATTGCTGCTGCTACTGAAGCCACAGCCACAACCATGGCTGCGGCTACTGCTAAAGCTTCCAGGGGACCGTCAATTCAACAATTCCACAGCTTTTCAGCACGTCATGGTTATAGTTATTGTCATGAGCATCAATACCCGTTCTGAATCTTACATGACAGTGATACAACACCACGACACGACAACCATGAGGACCACGATGACCAAGACTGTCCACGACCACCACAAGACCCCCCTTCCCCTAATAAAAACAATTGGATTTCGGGGCCTGCTTTTTTCATATTAAGGTGGGTTTCGGCGGCATCCGGGTATGAGTGGGATTGAGAGTAATTATGAGCCAAACAAACCGCCCAACACGCAACCGCCCCGGCTATAGAGCAAACAGTCCCGCCCTAAGCCTTAAACTTTGAACCTTAAGCCCTACAGCCCCGAATTTTTAAAGAACTGAATCCTGAAGCCCTAAGGCTTAAGCTCCGAACCCCTAAACCCTAAAGCCATGGTCTTTTCGGTTCAGTACTGTTGTAGTCTTGGCTTTATTACAACCTAATACAGTCTTAGGACCCCCGAATGTTGTTTTTTAAATTGTGTGCCCTAAACCTCGAAATCCCGAGGGCCGGATGTTTTAATATTAGGGGGGTGAAAGACATGTTAGGGGGAAGGGATTGGTAGGGCTTTGGGGCATATCAACAGAACCTATACAGGGAATAGTTTTACCAACTATTCAAGTCCATCATGCCAAACGTGGCTTTTGTTACATTCTTGCTTTCCCAGGCCAAACGAATGGATATCTTGCGTTTCCTAAAACACCACCTCGAGGTCCCAGCGGCACACCCATGAAACAGTCACTTGTAAAATCAGTCGACGAAAACTTCTTGAATTTCGGACTCAATGTAACCCTATAAATAATGCGATCGAAGGGGGTCAAAACAAAATTGCGATGGTAACATAATCGTGTCGCTGAACAGTATCGCTGGTAAGTTGTTCACAGCCACAAGCTGGCAATGGTAATGTAGTCGTGTCCCCAAACCCCTTTCGCTTGTAAGTTGCTCACAGCCACAAGCTTGCGATGGTAACGTAATCGTGTCCCCAAACCCTTTCGCTTGTGAGTTGTGCACAACCACAACCTTGCGCTGGTAACGTAACCGTGTCCCCAAATCTCTTCGCTGGTAAATGGTTCAGAGCCACAAGCTTGCGATGGTAACGTAATCGTGTCCCCAAACCCTTTCGCTTGTGAGTTGTTCACAGCCACAACCTTGCGATGGTAACGTAATCGTGTCCCCAAATGTCTTCGCTGGTAAATGGTTCACAGCCAGAAGCTGGCGATGGTAACCCAATCGTGTCCCCAAACCCTTTCGCTGGTACGTTGTTCACAGCCACAAGCTTGCGATGGTAACGTAATCGTGTCCCCAAACCCTTTCGCTGTTGAGTCGTTCACGACCACAAGCTTGTGACGGTAACGTAATCGCGTCCCCAAACCCTTTCGCTTGTGACTTGTTCACAGCCACAAGCTTGCGATGGTAACGTAATCGTGTCCCCAAACCCTTTCGCTGGTACGTTGCTCACAGCCATAAGCTTGCGATGGTAATGGAACTGTGTCCCCAAATCCTTTCGCTGGTATGTTGTACACAGCCACAAGCTAGCGATGGTAACTCAATCGTGTCCCCAAACCCTTTCGCTTGAGAGTTGTGCACAGCCACAACCTTGCGATGGTAACGTAATCGTGTCCCCAAACCCTTCTGCTGGTAGGTTGTTCACAGCCACAAGCTTGCGATGGTAACGTAATCGTGGCCCCAAACCCTTTCACTGGTAGGTTGTTCACAGCCACAACCTGGCGATGGTAATGTAGTCGTGTCCCCAAACCCTTTCGCTGGTACGTTGTTCACAGCCACAAGCTTGCGATGGTAACGTAATCGTGTCCCCAAACCCTTTCGCTGTTAAGTTGTTCACAGCCACAAGCTTGCGATGGTAACGGAACCGTGTCCCCAAATCCTTTCGCTGGTATGTTGTTCACAGAGCCACAACCTTGCGATGGCAATCGTGTCTCCAAACCCTTTTGCTGGTAAGTTGCTTACAGCCACAAGCTTGCGATGGTAACGTAACCGTGTCATCAAGCCCTTTCGCTGGTAAGTTGTTCACGACCACAAGCTTGCGAAGGTAACGTACTCGTGATCTCAAACCCTTTCGCTGGCAAGTTGTTCACAGCCACAAGCTTGCGATGGTAACGTAACCGTGTCCCCAAACCCTTTCGATGTTAAGTTGTTCACGACCACAAGCTTGCGATGGTAACGTAACCGTGTCCCCGAACCCTTTCGCTGGCAAGTTGTTCAGAGCCACAAGCTTGCGATGGTAACGTAATCGTGTCCCCAAACCCTTTCGCCGCCGGTAAGTCGTTCACAGCCACAAGCTTGCGATGGTAACGTAATCGTGTCCCCAAATCTCTTCGCTGGTAAATGGTTCACAGCCAGAAGCTGGCGATGGTAACCCAATCGTGTCCCCAAACCCTTTCGCTTGTGAGTTGTTCACAGCCACAACCTTGCGATGGTAACGTAATCGTGTCCCCAAATGTCTTCGCTGGTAAATGGTTCACAGCCAGAAGCTGGCGATGGTAACCCAATCGTGTCCCCAAACCCTTTCGCTGGTACGTTGTTCACAGCCACAAGCTTGCGATGGTAACGTAATCGTGTCCCCAAACCCTTTCGCTGTTGAGTCGTTCACGACCACAAGCTTGTGACGGTAACGTAATCGTGTCCCCAAACCCTTTCGCTGGTAAGTTGTTCACAGCCACAACCTTGCGATGGTAACGTACAAACATGGGTAGTTGTAAGTAGGCTTAGACGTCCCCTGATAGGGCTTATAACTATAGTTACGTGACTTATAACTCCACTTATAACTAACCATGAACCTCCTAAACCCTATACCCTGATAGAACCCCTATAGATCCCTTTATAAAGGGACCCTTGAAGGAACCTCAAAGTGAAGGTTTCAAACCTTTCGATCAAGGAGCCACACTTTGTGGAGGTATGCGTCGGCCCTGTACTGGTGGTCTGTTCGGCTGGGAAGACACTTCAAGCATAACATCGAGGCCTTCGAGGTGTTAGGGTTTGACGGTTTAGGGCTCTAGGGTTTTAGGTTTAGGGTTCTAGGGGTTTTGGGGTTCTAGGGTTTTAGGGTTTAGGGGTTGAGGGTTTAAGGGTTTCAGTGTTTATCTAGAGCTGAAAGGAGTAGGATACCACTCTTTACTTAATATCAGAATATGTTGCACCCTGAAATGAAGCCCTAAACTCCACGTTCTAAACACCTAAAACCCTGAAACCCTCAAGCCCTAGAGCTGAAAACCTGGCACCCAAAAGCCTAAACTCTTGTAAATCCCAGACAGGGCTTTGGGCTTTCAACATTTTCTCCCTGGTGCTTAATAGGGAATGGGGGAAAGGATCCCTATAGTAGCCCGTATACAATGCCCAATGGTAGTCCCCATGATCCATTCCCCCATTCCCTGCTAAGAACCAGACATTTTCTTTGGAGGTGGGGTTAGGTGTTTAGAGTCTACAGCTTAAACAGCTTTCAGGGGCGACAAGTGTTTAGAATGTTTCAAGGCTTCTGGGTGCAGGGGCTTTAAAGTTAAACGGGACTACGTCCCAATTTTCGGGAAAATTTAGGGACCTTTGTAAATAAGACAGGGATTCGGTGCCCGTTGCAGTTTCTTACATTGAGGAGCCCTAAGGAATACTGTCCGTAATTACTCAGGCTTCTACATTACGTAAACCCTGAGCTTCAGGGCTTCTTGGGTGGTTGACAAAAATACGGTCCCTTTTTGGGTACCCTGAATATTAGGTGCCGTATTATCATATATCATAAGGAACCCAAGAAGGGACCCTAACATTGACAACTACCCTCTTGGTTTTTGGGTTTACCATCCAACCGCCCAGACGGAAGAGCCACCGTAGGACCAATTAAGCAGTCAGCATTGGCGAATTCGGCGAATTCGAGCCGGCCGTCGTCTGGCTTTTGACCTCACTTTGCGAACCAGCTACTAGGACCTTAGGGTTTAGGGTTTACTCTCTCCTTCAATAACCGGACCCAAAAAAGTTTAACCTTTCTAAGATAGACCAAATATATAAGGCCAAAAAGTTTAAAGTTCACCCATTGGCTATCTAAGTTTATTGGTTCAGGGTTTACATCACTTTCCAGCCAATTGGAAATACATTCACCTTGAGTGTTTAGGCATGATAGCAGGGTTCTGTTCAAAAACTGTAGCCCTAAACCCGGGTAACCCATGTACCTAGCCTGAAAGCTCCACGGCCCAACGCTCAAGCCCATGACCCTCAATCATTGCGCTCAGTCACCCTAAAACCTTCGTCAAGTATCACCTTAAACGCGACATTCCCCAAACAGTGCGCTAGCACTACTACCGGGTTTCCATCCTTGCTATGCCAGGGTGTAGAATCGTACCCACAGAAAAGGCGGTTCTGTTTCTGGTAGAGATTCGGCAGTAGACTTCCAGAAATGCTGGAGGGAGCTTTGAGCCACAGATCCTCCCGCGCTGTTCCCCGGCGATCTGCGAGGGTGAGAAGGCATTACAATAAGGTTTCTGGGGCTTCAGGCAGGTTTGAGAATGCTCTGTGGGCCTTGGAAGCACAGATACTTATGGACGTATGGAGTAGGTTTTTAGTCCATATCGATTCATCTTATAACAGATAAGATTTAACAACTGACGAATGACTCACGATACGTGTACAACCGGTCTTCCATGGCTTCATTCATCGCACCATAGCCCTGAGACACCTGAAACCCTAACACCCAAAACAACAACGATATTGGTGCCGTAATAATTAGAATAGGGTTTTGGGGGTACATTCCAGTTCATGAAAATTAGGTACCTCCACACTAGAATTAGACAATGTTTAGGCCTCTACATTCAGCCGGAACATCCTAACGACCCTAAGGCCCTCAACCCTGCCAAATGTCTCTCCGACAGCCCTCGATCTTGCGTCCGCAGTGCGTCCGCTTGGCCTCGAGCGCTTTCATGGGGTCTTAAGGGCGTGAAATGGTGTATAGTATAATAGGGGTTTAAAGGGTGTAGGGGTTATAGGGTGTTTTCGGGTTTCATGATGGGGCCAATAGGGTTTTAAACTTTTGAGGGTCTTATAGGGATTTGCAATCGTTATGCAGAGCCTTTGGAAGCGTTTCCAGTTTCAAGCGGGATGTATGGTTGTACAAGGGTTATATGATGTCTTACAAGGATGGTATAACATTAGGCACTTGGCATTGTTGTAGCTTGACATATGAGGGCAATATGACTTTGATGTGCTTGGCACTTCGGGCAGGTAGGTTTGGGCTACGAACAAGGAGATGTGACAGGGGCATCTAGCTAGACGAAAACGATGGATGTGAAGCCTGAGGGCCGTCTGGCCAACCCTGAACCCAAACCCTGTGCCACGTGTTACTGCGGAGAAGATCCGGCGCGCGGCAAGCTGTCGCCATATGCGAACAGTGGGTAGTAGCTGAAGTTGCGCGGCCAGGTTAGTAGGCAAAGCGCCAAATGAGCCGATGCCAAAGGCGGTGCTAAAGATGGATATCTTGCCACTCCCCTAACCAGAAGCTGCACAGGTTGAGCGACAACGGCATGTAAGAAAGCTGCTGCTCCCAAGATGATGATGAGCTGTTGTGTCGCAAACAGGTTTCCCTCTACCACGTCTTTCACGCTGGCCCAAGCAGAAATAAACTCCGGCGCATGCTTCTCAAAGAACACCAACATCCAGTGGTGCGAGACAATGACGCAAAAGTTCAAATTTGCCAGGTAGCTGACCCAAACTGCCGCTGCCGCCGGCAACTGTATGTCGAGGAATGTAAACACTAGCAGACCGAATTGAAAGGGCAATCCCGCGACCATGTAGGGCAAGTGTCGCCTGCACTGGCGCTTCCCGAAGCCGAAAGATTCCCAGGCGGGATGGTCCTCAACGACGGCACTCAGCGCGAGGGCCCCGCCGATAGCAGCGATGACCAAAGGCGTCCACCTCTGTCGGAGAGATCCTGTTGGCCCGAGAAACCGCGCAAGGGCTCGGCAGGCAGAGTGGGTCAACATGGCAGCGGGTAGCCGGCAGTATCGGAGCGATTGATAGTGGTCCGAGGAAACACACAAATGAGGCTGATGCGCTACGTCGACGCACATCCAAACGAAATAGGCCACGGTGCCAGCTGGAACCACATGCGGCAACACCGACTCGAATAAAATGGCCGCTCCGACAAACCACACCATCGAGTACTCCAAACTGACAAACCTAGTTCATGGTTGGGATAGGATTAAAACTGTACATGTTTATTCCTTATGGGGTTTAAATACCCATAGAAATGTACAATGTTACTCAACTATAACAGAGAAACCATGTCGACGTCGGCCAAGTCGGGTTTGGAAAATCATCAGCCGGGAACACTGGCCACAGAGCGCCTGAGTCAAAGTTGTTACTCTCTGCTGTCGCAAAGTTTCGCATCGTTGCTGCCCCAAGCATCCATTCCAGCCAACCTTTCAAAGTGGCATGAGGCTGCTGCTCCTCAAAGAACAGCTTCTGTCCACAATACCAGGGAGATGCAGGACGAACAAACAAGCTCGCCACATGCGTAACTGCAATTTGGGTGCTTGCTTGGACTGCTACTTTGCGAACAATCCTCATCGCAAACGATTGCAATGTCAAGCTGTGCATGGACATCAAGCGGACCGTCAATACCACGAACACGTCCTCCAACCGTGCAATGTCTGCACCTGTCGTGTGGCATATAGGCCACTTGAAAGGAAACGGCTGTCTTCTGTGGGTATCAACTACGATCCATGTCGCGAGCAGTCTCAAGATGTCTACGGCCACATTGGAAGTCTTTTCTTTGGATGCCGATGCGCTGCCAGCTGGCCGCCAAAAGCGACAGTACATGAATGGAGCCAGAGACAAGGCGCAAACAGTGACGCACATTACGAGAGCGCCAGGTGTCCTTGGTGGCGAGACGCATGCGTCACCTCCTCGGACTCGCTGAAAGGAGGCACCTCCAAGGATAACTGCTGGTCCACGGATGCTTCTGTCGGCCACGATTGGAATAACCGTCACTGCAGCCTCTCCGATGCTGCAAGTAACCGGCAGCGTCAGCACGTAAGCACCCTCGAAACGATGATGCTGCATGGAGTACCAGTCGAGCTTGACCATGTACAGCTGGCACTCTGCATCACCCCAGCACGCCACAGCTTCGTCAATCCGAGTGCGGAACTTTATCACCCCATTGATGTTCTTTATTGGAGGGGGAAAGATGTTGTTGCCGCTCCACATCTGCAGGAGCTGGAATCTGGAGTCGTGCAAAAAGCTTTTCAAACAGGGGCTTTCAACCTCAGCATGACTGACGCCGCCAAGCTTAGCTGGAGGCATGGTACTACCACTTTCTCTAAACTGTTGTTTGGCTGGTTCGGTCATGTACAGCGTGCCATTCATCTCGAAAAAGTCGGACGTTGGGGAGCCTTTGACATCGTCGACATGTATCCAGTCTTGCAGATCTGGCAGGTCCAAGCAGCATTTCAAGTACGTGTACGGTCCGTAGCTGTCAAAGCACCCTCCATCGGATACGAGAATTTTGAGGCCGTCATCAGCAGATTCGCAGCACCGTCCATGTGTGAAAGAGCTCCCCTGATCGAAACACGGACTTCCGCGGTCATGTGCTATATCGGACGGGACATGGTCCGGTGTCGAAGTGGATGATGCTTGCACCGCCAAACAGCACCGTTCGAAAGTGAACTCGGTCGTGAAGCAGCTGCTATTTCCAAACTTGCAGCAGAGCTGCCTAACATTTTCAGGAACCCCGAACCAGCAGGGATCCGCGTTGCCACAGCACGTCGACAGCTGCCATGCAAAGAAGGCAGCAAGCGAAAGGCTGGTCGCTGACATGCGAGACCGCAACGAACCACCAACCTTTCGACGCTCTGCAGTGCTCCGGCTACACTTGACACAAACGGCTCAGGAGCACCTTGGTTCTTAATGGGGTTCTTAGCATATCAGATCTTGCATTGAAGTAGTAGACCCCTACACCCCCACCCGACTCACAACATATGCCCAACTAGCAGAGACACGACCTAAACTCAAAGCTCTGAAGATCCCTATTCCCCGAACATGCCTAAAACCTATAAATCATACTAAGCAAGCGTTTGCTTTTGCCCCCTCGGTGTCCAAGTGACGGACCAAAGGGCTATAGGTGCCAGTTCAGAACTACAGGGGTTCGAGACCAGGACTGCCCAAGGGCCCTTTGATAGAGTCCTTATGGCCGTGAATTGTGGGTATTCTGGGTAGATCAGAGGGTAGTTGGGGCGTCTAGGGATAAGGTTCAGGATTTGGGGCTTTAGGTCTTTAGGGTCTTAGGGTGTTACTTGGAGGTTCATGGGTAGTTATAAGTGGCGTTACAAGCAGGGTAACTATAATTAGGAGACTTATAACCCCACTTATAACTGCCCATGAACCTGCAAGTAGTGTGAAGGATTCTTGTGTGAGGCTTTCGGGCCTTCGGGATGGAGGGCCCTGGGAGATTGCCAGAGTTAGGGATCGAGTACGCCTCCAGGGATGGCAACCTGGATCCGGACACGCTGGCAGTTGTTTAGGGCTACTATTTGCTTAAGAACCCCAAAAAAATACAAAATATATTCCTTATGGGGGTAATATAGGGATGATTATTTTTATTGTTTGGGGGTTTCTTAAGCAAATAGTAGAGGGTCTAGGGGTTCAGGGGTTAAGGGGTTTAGGGGTACAACCTGGTCCGCTTTAAACGTATTATGGGGTTCGATAATAGGATCCCCTTTAAAGATTCGAACGGTACCTATAGTCTCCTTTGTGCTTCCTTTTTGGGGTTACCTCCTAGGAACCTACATTAACATTGGCTCAAGACCTAATCAAAGAAAGGAACTACAATGGAGACTCTAGGTATGGTTTTGGCCACTTGCGCCCTGAACGCGGGATTTCGAGACGCTCTCGAGGTCCCACATGAAGGAAAGATGGCGGGCTCGGAAAGGTCTACTCTAAGGGGCCTTAATAATTCGAATAGGGCTCCCTTACAGGGTTCCTGAAAAAGGGCTCTATAAGGGTTACTATGAGGGTTCTATGATCTTACTGGAAAAAGGTTTTGGGGTGTATTCTACTACATTTTTTACAAGGACACCCAGCATAGTATAGGTATTGAGACTTATATTAGGGTCCAGCGTTCGGCGAATGAACCTCGAGTCCATGTAATCAGAAGCCCTGCAATTGGGGTCTCAATCTCTGAGCTACAAGAGTTTAGCGCTCCTTTACGGGTTTTGTGAGGTTTCCTTTTAAGTGTAAATCCTGAAGCTGGAAACCGTGACCAATATGCAAGTCGTCATTAAAGCCGAAAACACTGCTCGTCTCTGGCTGAGGATCATGGAAACTTAGTCTGCGGATTTTTTCAATTGTCTCAGACGGGTTCCTGTGGTTTTGCTTGAGGTTCACCTATGGGGCCTCCTAGTGCTTTGCAGAACCCTTAAAAAGACACAATCTGCAGGCAGGACTGCAAGTTGGGGTTTTGGATGGTCTTGGAGCTGAAGGTCATACTGCCTTCCAGGGCTTAAAGGGATTATACGAGAATTTTACCATGTGATTGCTTGCAGAACCTTCTCCCAAGTTGGGCATGGGCCCATGGCTCGTGGAGGCTTCCGCTGCCGTTTGTGCAGCCTGCCTACGTCACTGCGCAGAAGATCCGACACCCGGAAGCTTGTCACCATACGTGAACAGCGGGTAATGACTGAAGTTGCGTGGCCAGGTCAGCAAGCAAAGCGCCAGATGAGCAAACGCGACTCGCGGCGCAAAAGATGGATACCGTGCCACTTCTCTAATCAGCAGCTGCACAGGCTTTGCCACCAAGGCGTGTAACAGAGCTGCCACACCGAAGATGACGAAGAGTTGTTGCATCGCGAAAAGGTTTCCCTCTGCGTCCTCTCTCACACTTGCCCAAGCAGAAATAAACTCGGGTGCATGCTTCTCGAAGAACATCAAGATCCAAAGATGAGAAGCCATGACGCAAAAGTTCAAGTTTGCCAGGTAGCTGACCCAAACTGCCGCTGCCGCCGGCAACTGTATGTCGAGGAATGTAAACACTAGCAGACCGAATTGAAAGGGCAATCCCGCGACATGTAGGGCAAGTGTCGCCTGCACTGGCGCTTCCCGAAGCCGAAAGATTCCCAGGCGGGATGGTCCTCAACGACGGCGCTCAGCGCGAGGGCTCCGCCGATAGCAGCGATGACCACAGGCGTCCACCTCTGTGGGATATATGCTCTTGGCCCGAGAATTCGCGCAAGAGCTCGGCAGGCACAGTGGGTCAACATGGCAGAGGGTAGCCGACAGTACCGGAGGGAATGATAATAGTCACCGGAAACACACATCTGAGGCTGATGGCCTACATCAACGCACATCCAAATAACATAGGCCAAGGTGCCGGCTGGAACTATGTGTGGCAGTACAGACTCGATCGCTATGGCAGCTCCGATACACCACAAAATCGAGTACTCCACGCAAACAAACCATGTCGATGTTGGCCATGTTGGGTTTGGAAAATCGTCGGCTGGGTATGCAGGCCACACCATTCCTGAATCAAAGCTGTTACTGTCTGGCATGGCAAAGTCTCGCATCGTTGCCGCCCCCAGCATCCATTCCAACCAACCTCCCAAAGAGCCCGCTGGCTGTTCGCTCTCAAAGAACAGCTTCTGACCACAGTACCACGGGGACGCAGGACGAACGAACAAACTTACCACATGTGTAAATGCTGTTTGTGTGCTTGCCTGGACCGCTACTTTCCGCAAGACTTTCATTGCAAACGATTGGAGTGTCACGCTGTGAATAGTCGCCAAGCGGACCGTCAGCACCACGAACACGTCTTCCAACCTTGCAACGTCTGTGCCGGTCATGTCGCATATAGGCCACTTGAAGGGAAATGGTTGTCTTCTGTGGGTATCAACCACGATCCATGCCGCGAGCAGTCTCAAGACGTCAACGGCAATATTGGGAGCCTTTTCGTTGGATGCCGATGCGCGGCTGCTTTGCCGCCAAAAGCGACAGTACATGAATGGAGCCAGAGACAAGGCGCAAACAGTGACGCACATTACGAGCGCGCCAGGTGTCCTTGGTGGCGAGACACATGCGTCACCTCCTCGGACTCGCTGAAAGGAGGCACCTCCAAGGATAACTGCTGGTCCACGGATGCTTCTGTCCGCCACGATTGGAATAACCGTCACTGCAGCCTCTCCGATGCTGCAAGTAACCGGCAGCGTCAGCACGTAAGCACCCTCGAAACGATGATGCTGCATGGAATACCAGTCCAGCTTGACCATGTACAGTTGGCACTCTGCATCACCCCAGCACGCCACAGCTTCGTCGATCCGGGTGCGGAACTTTCTGACCGCATTGATGTTCTTTATTGGAAGGGGAAAGATGTTGTTGCCGCTCCACATCTGCAGGAGCTGGAATCTGGAGTCGTACAAAAAGCTCTTCAAACAGGGGCTTTCAACATCAGCATGACTGACGCCGCCGAGCTTAGCTGGAGGCATAGTACTACCACTTTCTCTAAACTGTTGTTTTGCTGCTTCGGTCATGTACAGCGTGCCATTCATCTCGAAAAAGTCGGACGTTGGGGAGCCTTTGACATCGTCGACATGTATCCAGTCTTGCAGATCTGGCAGGTCCAAGCAGCATTTTAGGTATGTGTACGGTCCGTCGCTGTCAAAGCACCCTCCATCGGATATGAGCACCTTGAAGCCGTCATCAGCAGATTCGCAGCACCGTCCATATGTGAACGAGTAACCCTCTTCGAAACACGGACTTCTGCGGTCGTGTGCTATATCGGGCGGAATATGGTCCGATGTCGAAACGGATGATGCCTGCACGCCCGGACAGCACCGTTCGAAAGTGAACTCGTTGCTGAAACAACTGCTATTTCCAAACTTGCAGCAGAGATCTCTGACATCATCAGGCACCCCGAACCAGCAGGGATCCGTGCTGCCACAGCACGTCGACAACTGCCATGCAAAGAAGGCAGCAAGCGGAAGGCTCGCCACTGACATGCGAGATCCCAGCAAAGCAGCAGCATGTCGACCCTCAATGCAACCTCCCACTCCGGCCAGCCAGCTAGGCTTGAAGCACAGAGCACCGGATTCTATCAACCATCTTCATGTCGTGTTGGAACTTCATGATTGAACACCAAGTTCTTCCAGGCTTCATAATTTTATGAAGGTTTAATAAGGGATCTTCAATTGGCTCCTGCATCATACCCGCACAAATCAAAGCTTGAAATTCGCCGACCCACAGTGCTCCAAACGCAACCTGAACCAGTTGGGAGTTTCCGAAAAGAGGGGACCCTAATGTAGTATCCTAGATAGTAGGATCCTTATTATAAGGACCCCAAGATAAGGTGCCCCCCAATTTTCGGAAACACCCATGTGATTGTCAGAGCCTGAATTGCACCAGCAGCCAGCATCGAGGTTGTCGCAGAAGCTCATCGGTTTTCAGGGCAAAAACCGAATCCACGGAAGCAATCAGCCGAACTCATGTCAGCATCCCTATATACCCCGAAACACCCGAACTCGAAGCAAAAGAGCAACGCAGGATCTAAGGCTTGAGTTGCCAAGCTTCAAATCCAAACTTCCACCCCTACTCCCCCGACCCTCCAGGGACTCGAACAAAGGCATCAGCCACCACCTCGTGTGGCCTTGCGGTTTGAAGTTTTTGGGGTTTGTCTGAACGATCCAAAATAGCCTCTCAGTCTAATCCGCGTGCGCCCTCACAAACAACCTGTATACACCAGATAAACACAAAAAACTAGCACCCCCAACACCCGCCGATCTTGGATACGATTCCTTCTTCCGGCCGTGCAGTTTGCTTGCAAGGTACCCTCTCACCCTCAAGCCCAACCCCTCCCCCCCACCCCAGACCCTCAAATCCAGACTCCAAACCAGCCCTGAACCTTCCTAAACCGTAAACCGTCACCGCTAAACCTCCCCAACCCCCGGACCTCCAAACCCCAAACCCCTAAACCCCCTACACTTCCCTAAACCCACTAATCCCGAAACCCTTCCAACACACTTCGGGGCTGAGTACCTCAGCCCAGAAAAGTTAACCTTTTCAATCATGGTGCCACTATGTAAACCTTAAAAGGTTAAAGGCTACCCCTAACCCTTTATAGTACCCTGATAATACCCTTGTAGTACTCATACAGATCTGTTGGAACGGGTTACCTACTCAGCTACTAAGAGCCCCTTACAGAACCCCCCCACAGATCCCTTAAAGGAACCCTTCATAGTACCCTGTGGACCCCTTTAAAGGTTACCTACTCGGCTACTAAGAGCCCTTGTGGAATCCTACAGATCCCTTAAAGGAACCCCTTATCGTACCCTCATAAATCCCTTGAAGGGACAGGCCACCTACTCAGCTACTAAGAGAAGCCTAAACCCTTCTAGTATCCTTGTAATTGTAATGTCCTTAGACTAGTCTTATAGATCCCTTAAAGGAGCAGCTTACCCACTCAGCTACCAAGAGAAGCTCTTGCCGCTTGCCGTCCCTAGGATCCCTCCCGCCTCCAAGCTCCGGGACACAGAGCCCCAGGTCGCTTGACCTCCGGATTTGGGGGGTGGGGGGGCCGGGGGGGTTGTTGGGTTGTTGGGGGTTTCGGGTTCAGGGGCTCTGGCGTTTAGGGGTTTAGGGGCTTGGGGTTCAGGGGTTTAGGGTTTAGGGGCAATTAAACGAGTGCTCCTTAAATGGCTTCGACTGTAACGGCTTCGTTTGGTCTGAGCATAGGTCTTCGGTATCCTAAGACAGGGTCCTTAATGAGGAGAATAAAGTTCCTTCGATTTAATGACTCGAATTAGGAGCTATAGGGTCTGAGGATTTCACATAGGAGCCTTAGTAAGCAGAATAGGGCTCCCTTAAGGACTGTAACTTAGGGGTTTGTCAATTAGAATACTGATTTCCATAAAGAGAGAATGAGAAGGTTCCTTGAAAGGGTTGTCTTGAAGGTTCGCTAGGGTCTTAGTGTGAACATAATAATCAGAACATGGTTCTCGGTGTGCATTCTTGTATATTCTGTATGAAGGAACCAAGGAAAGAATACTGCTCCTGATTCAAGCTTCCGTCTTGCAGGTTTCGAGCTTCGGTGTTACAAGCGCTTCTTTTGGTTTCCTGGTCTAGTAGATTAGGGGTGCGGGGTGCAAGAAAGAAATATCCCCAATCCGGCTAGCGTGCTGATGGAAGGCACCGGAGGCGCTGAATTTTAAAGTTGACGTAAGTACGAATGCAAGCCAACACGTCTCAAAAGTTGGGACTTGAAGCTGGAGGTCTTAAAGCGAGTATGTAGCAATTGCTCCATGTCTGGGGGCCTCGCATCTCACTTCACCCTGAAGCCGAAACAACAGACCCTAAACCCTAAATCCTACAGCCCAAACCCCTAAACTTCTCAAACTCTGACATCGGCATCCCTACACTAGTAGCCCAAAAGTTGGAAACCCAATATAGCCTCAATCCTTAAGAGTGATGTACAAGGAATCCCAGCACTAGTTGGCCTTAATCAAGTTTCCAACTTTATGTGGGTTTACTGTATACCCTTCTACACCTAGTGCACGGTCGCTGCGCTTCTCCTGTTTTTTACGGTGGTAGGGCTGTCGAGTTGGGAGATCGCGCAGTTTCCAGTTTCCAGTTGCCGGGAGTAATGTAGGAACCATTAGGGTTCCTTTAAAGGGGTCTATAAGGGTTACTATGAGGGATCTATAAGGGTACTATGATCATGTAGGAGCCTGATCAAGAAACCTTGGGCCTTTATTAGGGTGCCTTTGATGAATCCTACTATTTTGGGGTTATCGGCCCAGGGTTTCTTAATCAGGTTCCTACATTAAGCGTTTCAGGTTAGGGTTTCGCGTTATGGTAGACCACATCGAATCGATCAGCCATAGGAAACGGGAATTTCAATCTGCGGTCTGTGGTCTAAATAATAACGTAACCATTATTGAGGGTTCATCATGGCAGAAGAAAACCCGAAAGCCCATCTTAATTACAACACTAAAGTACTAAAGTCCGTTGCATGCTTGTCTGTACGGCCGGCCTTTACCCCGAAGCTTCGCGATCTGTTCTTTGAGCACCTGCCATTCAAGAGTAGCACATCTATGCTGTGATGTCATAATACTATGTAAGGTCCGGGAATCGGGGTCTCATACTGATGAAGGATCCTACCCAGTACGGTTTCTCCTCTCCTGAAACGCTTACATCGGGCCTACCAACACCTGGCCACATCTGACAACTCAAGGAACTGTAAGGAAATCGCCCGACACCAATCCCTAAACCTCACACCCCGGACCCTGAACTCTACACCCAAAACTGCATAAGCCGCTACACATCCGAACTCGAAAGCCTTAAGCTTTAAACCCGACGGCAGCCGTACACCCCAAACGCCTACACGGCTCCACACATCCCCAACTCTGAGCCCGAAATCCAAAGAAGCCTTCGATCGATCTCCACTGTAATCCCCATGTCGGTGGGTCGTTGCGTAGTGCTTGGCTGTCAGTTGTTGATATATAGGGTTTTGGGTTTGTTTAGGTTCAGGGTTTGTGCTTGCTATCTGATCAGCTCAACAGCAGGCACAGTGACACGATGTTCAGCTCATGCATCACTAGCTGCTGTTGCTGGCATCATGGTAGCCTCTGTTGCTGTTGTGAGTTGTTGTTGCTCTTGATGATGGGTATTGTTGCTAACAGACATGTCCGAAATCTATGCACACTTGCATACATAGTCCGAAACTCATGCATTCATTGACACGGCTGTTTGCGAGACCATTTCGCAGTTGGACATGGGCCCCTGGCTTGTAGCTGGCTTCCACTGCAGCACGGTGTGGTCACCATACCCTTGATCTCTTCCACCAACCTCAGGACCGCTCTGAGGACCCTTGTCGCGGCGGCTCTCGTCCTTGCCGCAGCTGCTTGTTGCGCAGCTGCCTACGTCATGGTGGAGCAGATCCAGCACCCGGAAGCTTGTCACCATATATGAACAGCGGGTAATGACTGAAATTGCGTGGCCAGGTCAGCAGGCAAAGCACCAGATGAGCAAACGCGACCGGCGGCGCGAAAGATGGATACCGTGCCACTCCTCTGACCAGCAGCTGCACGGGCTTCGCCACCAAGGCGTGTAACAGAGCTGCAACGCCATAAATGACGATGAGCTGATGCATCGCGAAAAGGCTTCCTTCCGCATCGTTTCTCACGCTGGACCACGCAGTTATAAACTCGGGAGCATGCTTGTCGAAGAGCATCAAGATCCAGAGATGAGAGGCCATGATGCAAAAGTTCAAGTTTGCAAGGTAGCTGACCCACACCGCTGCTGCCGCCGGCAGCTGTATGTCGAGAAATGTGAACACTAGCAGACCGAATTGAAAGGGCAATCCCGCGACCATGTAGGGCAAGTGTCGCCTGCACTGGCTTTTCCCGAAGCCGAAAGATTCCCAGGCGGGATGGTCCTCAACGACGACGCTCAGCGCGAGGGCCCCGCCGACAGCAGCGATGACCAAAGGCGTCCACCTCTGTCGGAGAGATCCTGTTGGCCCGAGAAACCGCGCAAGGGCTCGGCAGGCACAGTGGGTCAACATGGCAGCGGGTAGCCGACAGTATCGGAGCGAATAGTAGTAATCCCTACAACAGACTTGGGGCTGACGGTCTAAGTCCGCGAACATCCATGCAATATAGGCCACTGTGCCGGCTGGAACTATGTGTGGCAGTACAGACTCGATCGCTATGGCAGCTCCGATAAACCACAAAATCGAGTACTCCAAGCAAACAAACCATGTCGATGTTGGCCAGGTTGGGTTTGGAAAATCGTCGGCTGGATATGCTGGCCACACCATTCCTGAATCAAAGTTGTTGCTGTCTGGTATGGCAAAGTCTCGCATCGTTGCCGCCCCCAGCATCCAATCTAACCAACCTGCCAAAGAGCCCCCTGGCTGTCCGTCCTCGAAGAACAGCTTCTGTCCACAGTACCACGGGGACGCAGGACGAACGAACAAACTTACCACATGTGTAAATGCTATTTGCGTGGTTGCCTGGACCGCTACCTTCCGCAAGACTTTCATCGCAAACGACTGCAATGTCAAGCTGTGAATAGACACCAATCGGACCGTCAGTACCACGAATACGTCCTCCAGCCTTGCCATGTCTGCACCGGTCAAGTCGCATACCGGCCACTTGAACGGAAACGGCTGTCTTCTGTGGGTATCAACCACGATCCAGGCTGCGAGCAGTCTCAAGATGTCAACGGCCACATTCGGAGCCTTTTCCTTGGATGCCGACGTGTCGCGGGTATGCGTCCAACAACGACAGAACAGCCACGGGATCAAACACAAGGCGGAAAGGATGCCGCACATTGCTCGGACGCCGGGTGTCCTTGGTGGCGAGACACATGCATCACCTTCCCGGACTCGCTGAAAGGCGGCACCTCCAAGGATGGCTGCGTCATGGATAAGGCGGTCTGAAATCAGCGGGATCACCGTCACTGCGGCTTCTCCGAGGTTGCAGGTAACGGGCAGAGACAACATGTAGGCTCCTTCGAAACGATGGTGTTCCACAGAGTACCAGTCGAGCTTGACCATGTACAGCTGGCACTCAGTATCACCCCAGCACGCCACAGCTTCCCTCATGCGGGTACGGAACTTGATAACAACGTTGATGTCCTTTGGAGGTGGAGGAAAGATCTCTTTGCCGCTCCACATGGGCAAAAGCTGGTACCTGGAGTCGTAGAGCAGATCTCGCAAGCAGGGACTTTGCACGTCAGCGTGACTGACGCCGCCAAGCGTAGCAGGAGGCATAGTACCACCACTTCGCCTAAACCGCTGCTTGACCTGTTCGGTCATGTACAATGTTCCCCTTATTTGATAGAAGTCGGAGCTCGGGGAGCCTTTCACCTCGTCGACGTGTATCCACTGTTCCAGAAATGGCAGGTCCAAGCAGCACTTCAAGTAGGTATACTTCCCAGTATGCTCGAAGCAGCCGCCGTCTGCAACGAAAATTTTCAGGTCCTCAGCGGCTTCGCAGCACCTTCGGTAGGTGAAGGTGTTACCCTCCTCAAAACACGCAGCGCTGCGGTCGAATGCCGGCTCCCCCGGGCTCCGTGTCGCTTGCTTCCCCTGACAGCAGAGTTCGAAAGTGAAGTCAGGGGTGAAACAGCTACTTCTTCCAGACTCGCAACAGAGATCTCTGACGTCATCCGGCACTCCGACCCAGCAGAGATCAGCGTTGCCATGGCACGTCGACAGCTGCCATGCCAAGAGGGCAGCAAGCGGAAGGCTCGGCGCTAACATGAGGGAAGGCGGCAGCTTGTGGACTTTCCACGCAATGCACTGGCTACTTCGAGCTCGAAACATGCAGCAGCTCATGCAGCCTTCAGTGAGTCGACAGAAACCGCTGCTTCAGCCGGAAGGAGAAATTGAATATCCGCAGGCACCTGCGTGACCTCAGAAAGCTCCTGCCGCTCAGCGGCATTCTCCTGAGGGCACAGGTGTGGGAGGATTGGCACCTGCCGAATTCGTACTGATGTGTATTGGAAATTTGTATAGATACACAGCACAGGTGCATAAACACAAATACTTAAGAAACAACCAAACATACATACATACCTACATACAGACATATGTACATATAGAAACAGACAGACAGACATACAATCATACATACACACACACACATATGTACACACACCCGTCCGACCATCCGTCCAGCCATCCAACCATGCAACCGTGCATGCATGTATGCATACACATACGTACATCCATGTGGTCCCTCACGTGCATCGTTCCGGCTGGGAGTATTCACGGAGTATTATCGCATCACACATGAAACAAATGCATCCTTTTGCCGCGGCGTGATCATGGTCCATGGTCTCTTCAGTTCCTCCGCTGTACACAGGAAACAGAGACGATCGTTACTGGTAAACATAAATAACAGGGATGTCATTGCAGTCGCGGCACGTGACACGACGGCCGACTGCACTTGCACATGCTCATCGAGACCCCTCATGTAGTATCCAACAGAAAAGGCCTGGGACGGTGGATCTAAGAAAAGCTCGTCTTCAAGCGATACATTCGCCGTGTTATGTCTGCATCCTACCTGTGGCAGCTCCTCCAACAGCATCCCTGCAGCAGAAGCACAAGGTCTGTACTGCCAAAGATCCCGGCAGGCCATGCGGCTCACCCGCATGTAGTTCGGGGTGCATGAGGGCAGCTACGAAACCTGTGCTTGAAACCTGTGCCTTGAAGGTTCAGGGGACTAAAACTTGCGACAGAATAAGAAACCTCCTCCCTACATAAAGCCACTAAATTTCAGTCCCGTGTTCCTTCAAGCAAGGAAAGTGGGGATTGTCAACACTGAGGATGGCCTCTTGCTTTACTTGTAAGTAGCTTCCTTCCTTTGGCCGCAGCATGTGATAGAAGCCTCTCATTGTTGACAGACTCCGCTTTCAGAAACGTGCCAAGTACTGGTCCGGGAGTCGGAAGATCGGGTCTTATGGCTTCGGGCCTGTTTACAATGGGGGGCTAAGAGGTTAGGGCTGCTTTATGCTTGCGAATTTGGACCTTATACATTATTTTGGCTTTCCGACTCCGCGGAGCCGGAACGCATGGCAGCCGAAAAGGTGGTTCGCACTTGACCATCACAGTCATCATGACGCGAAGCTTGATATCCCAAGTAGCAGCGACTACCTCTGACAACTAGTCACAACCATGGCAGAATAGCTGGTGACAGTGAATTGCTGAGTCTTTCCCTGAGAGCAACTTCAGATGCAAGGATGGCCCACAGCTAGAATCGTTCAACATGACGCGACGGTCATGGACTTGACGGTCCAGAGCTGTCATCCTTCGGTGGCATCATGCAAATATGCTATGAATTCGGCGCATGATCAGGCCAGGGGCGCACCCTGACCCAAGTTAATATTTAATCAGGCACGCGAGCACACAGCCCATCGTCGCCCGAGCCTTCACTTTGCAGGCTTAGGAGCTCCGACGGCCAAGGGTCCTGCGGGGGCTCGTCTAGTCAAGACTCTGACTGGATCTTCTGCAATCAACCCCTTGAAAAGCGGAAGTGTGAAGCAAAGCAGCCTTGATTCTCCCTGGGCCCTGATTGCCCCAAAGTCCCATAAACCCAAATTCGAAGCCCGAAGGCCCCGCGAACCTCTCCTGTCCTGGAGCCGGCCCGCTCCACCAGTAGACGCCGCGGATGGTGGGCAAAGCCCTGCCCAGGCTTGGCTCTTCGAGGCCCGGCTGATCGCGGAGGGCTCTATCAGCAAAGCGGGATCGGGATTTGGCTGTAGAGCTAGGGTTTAGGGCTGTAGGGATTAGGGTTTAGGGGAGTTTGGCTGTATACCTTTAGGCTCCATTGTGGTTCCTTTTTGGGGCTTATATTGAGGATCCTCTACGGTAATTCCAAAAAGGAACTACAATGGAGCCTATCGGCATAGGGTCATGACACCCACGAGAATGTCACTCCCTTCTCTTGAGTGTCAGACCTTGCAACCTGAGCAGGACGTCCCAAGCCCCTCCCCTCATTCCTGATAAACCCCCCTCACCCCAAGCAAGCGAGCCGAAAAACAGGGTGCCTCGTGCTAGTGATGCTGAATTGTCGCTAGAGGGCTGGCCCAAGCCTTCTCGACCATGAAGGCCCGCAGTCTAATTCTTAACAGCCCAATACGCCAACGCTTGCATACTCAGACGATGACATAGCCCTTGCACCGCCCTTGTAAGGAGACCTATCAGAGGCCGCTAGAACAGCAGATTCTAGCAAACACTGAATCGCGAAGAGTCCCTGTGAACAAAGCTGTATGTCTCATGGACGTGTCCATGTCTGGCACCTACGCCGCTCGAAGCCTCGCCTCAGTCCTTGCTTCACAGAACGATAGCCCAGTCACTACACCCCCAAGTCGTGTTGTTGGTGCCGGGACCGAACTGTGCTTCACCATAACCATAACCATGACATCAGGGCGAACATGCACAAGCACAAGTAGAGCTCGCGGAAAATGTTAGATCGCCGCATGAATCTTAAACAGGGTTGAAGGAGTGGTGATCTTCAGGCTTGTGGCTTCGCAGCTTTGAGATTCCCCGACAGGCCCTACACCGACAGATGGAAAGCATGAGCTGACATCCCGATCATCGTAACATACTGTGTACTTGCGAGAGCAGCGATTTGCTCTATTTGCCTTTCCCTGCCGTGGACAGCGACTCGTTCTTCATGTTGAGACCGTTTTGTGATGTGGGTTTTCTAGGATAGAAGTTCTTTCCCATGCCGGAATTGCCCCTTGCTCCTGCAAGCTACTGTTGCCAGCTGCACTTTGTCCTTAACTTGGCGAGCTCCTTGCTCGGGCTGCCACGGACTGCCTATTCCGCTGTTCTGTCTAGGCTCCTTGCAGGCATCTTAACAGAACGATTGTGGGATCTGTGGCTGCGTCTTTTGAATGCACGACTCCGCATGCATAGCTTCAACAGCGGTGCCTTGATTCAAACTCCTTATATCCACCAGCAGTTTGTAGAGTCTGCATCTTTCGCTTTTGACAAGCAAGTCTTTTTGACAATACCTTAGCCCCAAATAGGGCCGTACACCTTTTTGCAAAAGACTGGGCACTGATCCCACGTAGAATCTGCTCCCAATTTGATTCGGAAGGGAAGGCGAGCCTGGCTGCACATAGGTATGTGGGGAATGTCCATTGTAACCACCGGGTGCAAGACTTCAAGCTGCGAGTGACATTCGAATAGGCCTGGTGCAAGTACTATGTATCCCAATTACCATGCGAAGAAGCGGGGTAGCGTAAGACACGAACAGGTCCTCCCAAAAAACATGACAACAGTCAAACATCAAGGGAGACACCATAAAGCTAAATCAACCAGAACCAAACAGGCAGTTGTCGAGCACAGTGCCGTGGGACAGACACAGAGGAGTGGGCAGCATCAACGAATAAACACACAAGCCTATTGAGCACCCAGATCAATTTCAAATCGCCAGAGGCAGCCGTGGAAGACAAGCCACAGCACTTCTTGTTCTTCTGCGCCACTTGCGTCCTGGTCATGGGATAAAGCTGTTGGGGTGCTCGTTTGTATATGAATATGCTCTTCGAATACTGAATCCGTCACAAGCCTCAACATCCACCAGCGCTTTCCCGTGAATCAGGCTTTTGATTTCCTGCGGCCGCTGCTCACACAGGACTGGAACCATGCCCCATATCCCGAACCAAACAAACCTTGAATCCCATCCTCAGGCCTTAACCATCAAAACAGGGTTTAGTGCTTCTTGTAGTGGCAACTTTGTGGCCCTATTTTCGGAAACTCCCATAACCCTAAACCCTTTATAGAACCCCTTTAAGGTACCCTTTAAAGGAACCCCAAGGCTATGGGGGATATGCCTGCTCTTCCAAGGACCTCAAGCACGACTCTGAGCCATTCTAAAGCCCAGAGCGAACTCCCAAGGCAAATCCACAAAATCCCACACCATCCAGGACCCTCTGCTTACCCTTAGACAGGGTAGATGGCCCGAAATGGTAGGTAACGCGGGGTCTGGTTGAAGGTAGATTAGATGGAGGGTCTAGGATACTGGGTTCTTGTTAAGGAGTTTACATTAAGTTGCCATAATAAGGAAACAACAAATGTTTTTTTACGATAGATCATAGATCCCTATTATGGTAACTTAAGTTCCTTGACAAGAAACCAGGATAGGAGTCAGCCTCTCCGGAATCTCGCCCTAAACTCAGGCCTTCTGGAATCTCGCCCTAAACTCAGGCCTTGACGGAGACCAGCACCCGGCTTTCGTCGATCAGAGACTCGGAGTCGAACAGGGCCTGCGAGAGACTTTATTGACTCCAGCTCAAGGCTTGAGAGTTCGGGGTTCAGGGTAGAGTTTGGGCTTCAGGGTCCTAGAATGTGTCGGGCTACTCAAAGGTTGAGCAGTGGTAGCTGGACGAGGTTGGCTCACTGATTGGAGTCTCATGATAGTCTCATGCTGCAGAGCTTGCAGCCAGAGCAGTTACGGCTCTGGGGTTTGAGGTTCGGGAGGTTCAGCAGCGCTCTGAGAACTAAGTATGCTGTATACAACTACGGATATTGTAGCAGGCGAGGGTCCTAAAGCGCCAAATATGCAAACCAGCCAAACAATTCAAAAGACCCTACAGCCCCCAACTCCAAAAAACACACCGGCGAAACCCCTGGACCCCTACAGCGTTAACCCCCCAAACCACCGGTGACTAGATTGGATATCGTGCCTGCAGCTACCTAAGCTTTGCACCCACAGCATCGAAGCAGTGACACCAAAAAATTGGCGCGACCCTCGCAGCCCACGTAATACAAGAGCGTTAACCACTGCACACGCACAAATTTTGGGCACATTCTCGTATGCTTACATTGACATAGGGGCTGCAAGGAAGTAGGTTGTTAAGTGCTGAACCAGGGTAGTTGTTCAAACTACATGTCCCAACCATTGAAAGAAGGTTCTGTTCGGCGAGGATCGGTCATAAAGAAGTACATTCACGATCGTCCCTTCATCACAGGCACCTGAGCTTTGAGCTTTTCCATATATGGTCTCATGACAGGGTTTGCAAGCGTGGCCTGTACTGCAGATCTTCAACCTGGGTTTGTTACAAATCAACTGCATAAGGGTCAAAACCAGACAACAAGTTCAAATTACTCATTGCTATCAATGCTCCATCTACCGGCCCTTTGGTGTTAACCTCAATGCCTCAAAGCTGTACCTGTCAGGCTTGGATCGTTGTGTGTGCAACGAGCATAGCTTTCTGGACTGGGGGCTCAACAAACAAAGCAAGTGACAGTCAATTCAGAAGGGTGTTATTGACGAATGTGGCGTTTTAAGTTCTTTTTGGTAACCTAGCTATGATATACCCCCAAACCGTATTCCAATTATTCAGGCCGCTACACTATGTAAAACCCTATACATGCCTCGTATCGAAACTCTCAAACAAACCCTGAAAGAAACCCCGTCCGAATTAATCAAGCCCCACTGCATATGATATCGCCTTCGCAGGGTTTGTTGACAATTTGAGCACAACGTGCGCTGGTCTGACCTGGGCTTTGGCTTCCGGACGGCACCTACTAGTAGTTCCCTTGGACTGTCTGCTCCTATTGCTTAGTTAGAATGGGAGCCACAAAGCAACACACCAAAAATTAAGAAGGTAGTACTTGGGAATGCCTCGCGTCTGCGAGAGGGCACCCATGGGACCAGGACGAGGAGCTTCGGAGGCAAAGCTAATTTTGTGTTGACTCCAAGTGGATACTCGGGCACTCGGAAATGAAAACCACAGCCCCTGCAGCTATGTATGATACTGGAGAAGACGAGCACAACTCTGCCACCGCATCGAGACTCTGAGGGTGAGAGACCCATCGCAGGTCTGTTGGCCGCCATGAGCCACCACGACCCTCTGCCAAGCGGCTTCCAGCAGCTCTGCTACTGCCGCCCTGACGGCACTGACTTGGCGCCTTGGCACTTTCGTGTGTGCTCATCTGGCTTTCCGGCTTCGCAAAGCAGCGCTCTGGTGGTCACAATCGCAGGCAGATACATGCTGCTAATGATCACGCTTAGGGTGACAGACAGCGATGACAAGTCGATGAAGGTCCAGCTTTCGAGTCGGGGCTCTTACGTTTCTGCGGGTGACTTGACAATGAAGCTGCGCAAACCACGTGCAGGAGTCCTACCGCAGCAGAGCGTCCCGCAGCGGATAGAAGTAATCCTTGGGGTGCTTGTCGTCTCCAGAAATATGTTGACAAAGGACATGGCGCGGCGCGACAAGGGTGTGTCAGAAATTTGTCAGCTGCAAGCTGGCCCCTTTTGCATCCATGCTACGAGTCCTCGTGTGGCGATACCATAGTCACTAGATTCTGAGAAAACAGATCATTGCGCCGGCTGCAAGCCACGTGGCGGAAAGAGCAATATAATGTAGCGGCCTTAATAGGATAGGGTTTTGGGGGTTCCTTATTATAAATACAGTGGAATATCCCCCAAACCCCTATTCTAATTATCAAGGCCCCTACATTAGCGAAAGGCATCTGGGAGCCCTGCCTCCCTGCTCTGAAATCAGTGTGATGTCTAAGCCAGCGTCTGTCAACGATTCGCAAAAGCCTGAGCTCTTGAAGTCTCGAACCGGTTCACGATGGATGTCAGCCCCTGAAACTCTTTACTTGATCTAGCTCGGGTGTCGAGATCAGCCTCCAGACCCGAAATGCAAGAAACCCCTCACTGGCGAGTTCTGCTCCCAAGCTCGGATAGTGCATGCCGTTTTTCCGAAACCTTGAGCCCCAGTAGCCTAGCAAGCCGAAACTGTGGCCGCAATAGCCAGGTGCATACTGCCAACCAGAGTATACGCGACACGATATCGCAAGGAGATACGATTCCTACTGAAGCCAGACCTCCATACGGGGACACCTCCATCTACCCGTATCTGGGACCATCTACCCCCATATTTAAGGTACAAAAGGAGATCAGAGCTTCATGCAACCTCCGACTGCATTGAACAGCCCTCCTGCACGATTTCCTGGAGCAGCTCCTGCCCCTCGAGCGCCTCCCAGGAAGGTTTTCGTTCGGGCTTAGGGGCTTGGGGCTTAGGGCAGTTGAGGGTTCCGGATTTGGGGTTTTCGGGTTCTTGCTATTTTTGCTGGTTTCGGGAAAGCGGCGGCCCTTGGGTTTTTTTCGCGCGGGTTCGGGACAGTTCAGCCCCAAACCAAGACGCCTCCCCTCGATAGAACCTCAAAGAAACCCGTATATAATTGAACCCTTGTAGAGAGAACCTGCAAGGGCGCCAGGCTACAGTCCTCCACAAGCGGAGCTTGTGACAGCAAGGCCCCGAAGCCCCTGGACCACAAACCGCCAACCCCACAAGCAGAAGCCCGAAACCATCAACCCCTACGCCCTGCACCAAGAAACCTCGACCAACCTCCTCCGGAACCCGGAGAATCCCGATCCATAAACTCCAAACCGGTACCTCAACACCACAACCGTAAAACCGTTAAACTGCAAGTATCAAACCGCAGACCCTCAACCCTAGAGCCCCCAACTCTAAAGCGCAAACCCCTTGAAGACCTAGGCAATTGACCCCAATCCCGAAGCCTCAAACCACAACCCCAAGCCACATGCCCAAAAAAGTAGAAAGTGCAAGCCCGTGTAGAAGCGTTATAGAACCGTGCAGAATCCCCTTGCTGGGTTTGGTGAGGTAGCATTCCACTCCGTAGCTTCAAGAGCTGATAATGATGCAAACCCGAAGTCTCGGCTCACGGGATGGACCTGAGGTTCATGAATGGCGTTTGCTATGATCGGCAGAAGCCACAAGCACCAGGGAGTTGCAATTTGAGCAGTGCCATGCAAAGCAGGTAGCATAGAGTGCATTTGCTTTACAGTAAGAACACATGTGGAGCTTGTGTTTGAGTGCGAAAATGTCTGTGAGTGTGAGCCCATGGGATCCCTTGAGCTTCGGTGATGCCGAAGTGTTGGGATCCATGTGGCAGCTAAGATCATGAGGAGACGAATCCGAATCGGGGCGACCTCCCAGATCAACAAACCCTTCAAGAAGCCCTTGGAATACTACCAAAAACCCCTTGAAGGAACCCTACCCTGAAAGGAACCCTTGAAGGAATCCTTATAGAACCGTTGTAGAACTCTAAACCCTAAACCCTTCAAGGAACCCTTAGAAACCCCGAAAATTCCTCGCCTGGAGTCGGCTCTCCGCTAGCAGAAGGCGCTGCTTCCGCTCAGAGCGGGAGAGCGGCCAATCCCAGAAGAGGCCCTGAGGCAGCCGACTATGGGGGCTTATGATTCTTGAAAGGTTTAGGGTTAAAGGATTCGTTTTGGTTTAGGCTTTGGGGTGAAGGAGTCGACTATAATGTTGACTTCCTGTTAATTACCCCCCCCCCCCCTCTCGATTGATTGCTGGCCCCGGGTAGGGGGGATTGACTATTGAGGGGGGTCCGTCGTCGCTTGGTTTCTAAAGCTTGCTGTCCTTTTCCTGGCATCTAAAGGCACAAGAAGTAGCAATTTGTTTTTCGGTTCCCGGCTAGGGGTTTCGTAATTGAGGCGGGGTTTGTAATTGAGTTCCAGTTCCAGGGGTCGGGTTTCGTTGTTGAGAGGGGGGTTATAAAGATGAGGTCAACATTAGGGGTTTAGGGCTTTTTGGAGGTTTAGGGTCTGGGGTTTAGGGTTTGGGTTGGGGTTTGGGTTTAGGATTGAAGGAGTCGACTATAAGCTCCCTTCAAGAGGTACTATAGGGCTTCAAGGGTAGTAGACTAGGGCACTGTAATAGGGAGTCGAAGTGGTTTAGGCTTTGGGGTGAAGGACTCGGCTATGGGTTTTTTAAGAGTATGTTGAAGGTTCTTGGTCGTTTTGGGTTTAGGGCTAGGGTTTAGGGTTTAAGGTTGAAGAAGTCGACTATAAGCTTCCTTTAAGAGGTACTGTAGGGTTCTATAATGGGGTTCCCTTTAAGGGCAGTATAGGGTTCTATAATAGAGTTAGGCTTTGGGGTGAAGGATTCGGCCACGCGGGGGCTTATGTTTCTTAAAAGGTATCGGGCTAAGGGTTTAGGGTTTGGGTTTAGGGTTTAGAGTTGAAGGATTCGGGGTGGTTTAGGAGGCAGTCGGCCATCAGGGCTTAGGGTGTTTTAGAGGTTCTCGGGGTTTTACGGTTTAGGGTTTGGGTTTAGGGTTGAATCGGATATAAGCTTCCTTTGAAGGGGTTCCTTTAGGTGGTTTAAGGCTTGGGTATGGGGTTTGGGGTTGGGGGCCTTTGTTGTAAGCTCCGGGTTGAGGGTTATCGGATTTAGGGTTGAGGTTTTGGGATGTCGGGGTGTTTCGTTGAAGGATTCGACTTCAGGGCTCTTTTTTTTAGGGTTTCTTATATGGCTCTGTAAAGGAATCCTGAGGCCTTGTATTGACGAGTTCTTCGACGTTTCCTGCTTGAGAGTTTGGGGTTTGTCGTAAGGCTTCATGTAGAACCTTTTTGAGAGTTTAGGGTTCAAAGCAAGAGCTTCATAGTTATTTACAAGGCTCATGGGGGAGTATGAGCTTTCCACAGGCTTTATTCCTTTGAGGCTTCAAGGCTTGTTTCTGGAGACTTGCGCCTGAGGGTTCCTTCGGAAGTTCTGGTAATGTTTGGGGTTGAGGCGCTCGGTCTATATAAAGGCTTTCCAAGGGTTGCCATAAAGGGGGTCCGTACATTCAGGATTTGAATTGCAAGGACTCGGCTCTGGGCGTTCTTGGCTTCGAGGGACAAGGATCTGGATCCGATTCTTCGTGGAGGCCCCGATTTCTCAAAACCAGACTGGCTGCATAGAGGTCTAATTCCGGGAGGATCGGGCTTGGGGCTTGCTAGGATTACAGCCTAGTGCTGTATAGGTTCATTTTAGGGCCCCAAGCAAAATTAGGATAGGGATATCCCATATAAACCCCCTTATACAGAACCCCAATAAGGTAGGGATATCCCTATAAAATGTTTATGCTTATGTGCTTTTTTGGGTCCCTAACATTTTCATCTTGGCGATCCATCTACAACGTCGCTTCGCAGGGTCTGCATGGACTCCGAGGACGGAAGGGTTTCGAGCTTCAGAGACTTAAGGGCTTTCGAGCTTCAAACTTTCAGGATTTTGGCTTGCCAGGACCTCTAAGAACCTTTAAGAACAAGCCCAAAGCTTCTGAAACCCTCAAGGCCCCAAACCCTCCCTTCTAGAACCCATGAAGGAACCCTTGCAGAAACCGCATAAGAGAAAACCGCCTCCAGCGTGGTCTGCGCAGAAGCACACAGCTCGTCCTGCCGATGCTTCAGCACCTGCGTCGGACTTGTGTCTTAGGTTTAGGGTTTCGGGGTCTATAAGGATTTGGGTTCAGAAGGTCCGGGCGAGGTGTCACTTGTGTTTTGTTCTTGTGGGTCAGCCTGCACTGCAGGCAGCTATCATAAGGGCTAGTTTGGAGGGTTTGGAAGTAGCCCAAACCGATGTTCTTCAGTAAGCCTTCAAGAAGGAGGGAAGCCTTTATCCCACTATTCTTGTCAAATTCAACACGGGAAGCTCGACACCAAAGTACTCAACACGAGAAATGCGGAATGCCGCAATGGACTGAGGCCTACAAAATGGCAGGAGGTCCTTACAAAAACAGGTCCCTCCTACGTTAAGGATCGTAGCGTTGCGGAAGCTTCAGTCCCCCTAAAACCGATAAGCCCTCAACCTTGCAGCCATAACTAAAGCCAAAACCGCAATGAAGGACTAAGCCACCGGCTCCTTGCATGGGAGTCTTCTTCTTGACATGAACAGAAGCAACGAGGTTGGGAGAGGCAGGTTCAATACTAATGTTACCAGCCTGCTGACAGATTTTAGCGAATTTGAAACCATTTTCTTCATAAGCTTGAAGTTTTCAGGATCGAGGCCTTCACTTCGACAACAAGGAACAATGCTGCCCCAAAAGCCTAGCTAAGCTTGTCGTTAAAGTAGATAGCCGTCCTTACATAACCACCGCATCGGCAACTCATAGTCACAATAAGGAATTAGGCTTCTAGGGCTAGGCTTAGCGCAGAACCTTATAACATTGAATCGAACATCCTTAATACCTGAGCCTGTACGGTGTTGATAGGATCCCTCCGTCACGCAAGGGGTTCTATGGCTTCTTCCATGTTGCCTCCGCGCCATACGACATCCTCCGGTTGCGAGGTCCAGGTGAAGCCTTCGCTTTGAGAGCTTCTGGCTTAGGATTTAGGGTGTAAGATTTAAGGAGGATGTAAGGTTGATGAGGCCTTTGGGGTGCCAGATTCAAGGAAGATTTAGGATTTATGAAACTGTTTTGGGGTGTAAAATTTAGGGAGGATTTAAGGTTTATAAGGTTTTTGGGGCGTAGGGAAGATTTAGGGTTGATAAGGCTTTCTTGGGTGTATGATTTAAGCAAGATTTAGGGTTTGTGAGGCTTTTTGGGTGCAAAATTTAAGGAGGAGTTAAGGCTTATAGGGCTTTCTGGGGCGTAAGATTTAAGGACGATTTAAGGCGTTTCGTGTTTTCTGGGGTGTTCGATTTACGCAGGATCTTATGGGGCCTTAGGGTGTAAGATTTAGTGAGGATTTAGGGTTGATAGGGCTTTTTGGGGTGTAAGATTTAAGGAGGATTTTGGGCGTCTAGGGCTGTGGCCCAGGATGCAATGGGCGACTCATGTTTTGACAGAGCTCCGAGACTTCAGTTGGGGTGCTAATTACGGAGCGCTGAGGCCGTTCGCAAAGTTGGAAGTGGTCCCTGGAACACCTAAGCCCTACAAAAACCCGGCCAGCCCTACTTATCCAAGGGTCGGCAAAGAAAGAAGTGCCATCAGCGGGAAGCGAGTGCCCCGCACGGGTTGGAACGGAGCAGTGAATGCAGGAAGCCCGCGAGCCGCGTGAGGTTGGGGTCGCTGCAGGGCCCCAGAGCGACGCGTCGGACTTTTGACGGCGGCGGATGACGGCTGCACCAACACGCCGGGCACACTTTGTCGCGCTTGGATCTTTTCGAACATGCGTGCGCCACATCGCTACCGGAGTACCGGGCTAGAAAAACACAGGTGGCGGAGAAGAGGCAGAGCGGGAAAAGGGAAGTAGGCAGGCAATGCTGCTTGTCTTGCCTTTGATGGGAGGCTGATTTTCGGCTCCTGTGCACCACAGCCTGAGGCTCCTGTCTGCGACTCAGTGGAAGCACCAGGAAGCGCACAAGCCGCAGCATATGATCGGCAAGCCCTAGATGCCCCAAGCCATAACAGCTCATTCACACGCTCGCCCTCGACCCAAGCCTCAAGCCCCTCACACCTCACCCACACGCTCACTCACACGCTCACTCTCATGTCTCTCACTCTCACTCACACTCCCTCTCTCTCCCCCGGCTCGTGCGAGAGCCGTATCGAATGTAGAATTTTCGGATGTGCTCCCTTTGAATTGTTGCTAAGGTGCGAGCCGCACCGCCTAACTGCTAAGCCGATACACATACGCAGCTCCCAACACATTTCCGACAAGGCTCCGAGGACCGCGGCGGTTGAACCACATCGCCGGGGCCCAGCCGCAGCCCCACCAGCCTTGACCGCTTTAGAGAGGAGATCATCTCCGCAGTGTTGCCGATCCCAGGTTGCATTCTCAGGGATGAGGGATGTTGCCGATCCAGAGCCTGTGTCAAAATGCAGGCGCAGCCTTCCACAAAAAAATCATCACTCCGAGCCCAAGGCTTCAAGGAAGCAGGGAACCACATGGATACCAGCCTTGGCAGCTTTTGGCTTTAGAAAAACTGAGACCCCCCTTTGGCCCCCCCGGTCAGCGCAGCTGCAACGGCAAAGCCAGTCGCGGCGCGCTGAGTTCACCACGCTGTTTTCGGATGGAGGATGAGTGTAGACGGACAAGGCCTCAGTGGTGATGCACATCCGAGGCACAAGTCTGAGGACTTGGCTGGTTGTGGTGGATGGTGTGGGCGCAGGCGCAAATTTGAGATTGTCGATGGCTTCCGAGTTCGAAAGCATGCTGCACTAAAATTGCTGCGACACCACAAGCATCTCAGCCCCGCCTTTCAATCTTTGCCCATGACGGCCATTAATTATTGCGTCATGAATCGCATGGATCACCATGTCCGAGAAAAAGCTGATAGCGAGGTTCCCGATGCTGGTCAATCCTTCTCCACTGTTGCGGATTGCGATTTCGATCACAAACCGAAATGCGTCGGAATTCACTGTACACTTGTCCTTCCATGCCGATCCACAGCCTGCGTCAAAGTGCAGGCGCAGCCTTCCACGAAAAAAATCATCACTCAATCCTTCATCGAAGTTCTGGCTGGCTTTGCTGGGCCGAAACCGTGCAGCTGAGGACCCTCGCTAAGCCTTGAGCCCTACAGCTAAAACAACCCAAAACCCTGATCACGCGAACCCGGGGTTTTGGTAGGGCCCTGGCAAGTTGGAGCCTCAAATCACCATGACTCTACTATATCATCCCAAATGCTAACGGGGAGCCCCAGGTCGCTTAAGAACACCCCAATCCAAATATACAACTGAAGGAACATTCGCCGAAACTCACAAGAAAGGAAGAACTGCTGAATGGACGCGGAAACCCTTTCAGGGCTTATGCTAACAGGCTGACGGTGTTCAAGGGTGTAGGGCTTCAGGGTCTTAGGGCTTTGTGGTTTTCGGTCTTAAGGAGTTCCGACGAGGGCAGTTCTTGTGTGAAGTTGCACTGGCCGGCCTTATCGGAATATTGCAGAAAAAATGCCATCCCAAACTCGAATCCCAAAGCTGAGCACCAGAGGTTCAAAAATCGTAAATGCCAAACGCAGCCCTAAACCTGTAAGCCCTAACGACCCTAAACCCCCTCAGCCCGAAGCCTTATGTAGTTAGAGGGCTCCTCCCAAGCCTTGGACCCACCCTAAACCCCTTTAGGCCCTTGGGGGATCAGAGCTGGGACTTAGGGGTTAGGGCTTCTGGGGTTTGGGGGATAGGGTTTGGGGTTTTGGGCTTAGCCATAAGGCTCGTAACTCCTGAACCCCTCAGCTTAGACCCTTATGAAACCTTTAGAAGACGAACCCTTCGGAGAATCTTTGGAAAATAAACCATTCCTGCCCACCTCCGGTGAATCAAAGGCAAAGGCCCAGACCTGGAAGAAGGATGCAAAGACTCCAATACCCCTCAGTTAAGGAATATACCTTCAATCATAGTAGGATCCCTAATATGGTTGAAGGAATATCCATTAATTAAGGAATATTCCTTGAATCATTGGGGATCCTACTATAATCCAAGGGTATATCCCTTAATTGAAGGATATTGGAGTCTCTGGGGAGATCGGCTGGCTCGGGTCCCCGAACCCTAACCCTAAACTAAACCCGAAGCATCCCACGATTTAATCTCCGAGCCCTATACTTACCTTTGGTTAGTAGGGAATGGAGGAATGGGGTACAATTACAACTACTATCACTACCATTCTTCCATTCCCTACTAACCAAAGGTAAGCATAAGGATACGAATGCTGAGCCCCTTGTAGTCTAAAGCACTGACTGCGGGTTCGCCCGAACACTGCCAATCGTGCCCCTTGCTGTTCAGCACTGTGCAAAGCAGGACAAAGGGACCAAGGAACGTAGCAAACTCGGATAGAAACGCGCTACCGATACTGCTTACTGCATCCCAAGATCATTCAAAGCTCTGAAACCCTAAACCTGGTCCTGTTCTCCAGTTTGATTACGTAGGTGTTCGAGTGCTAGGGCTACTGGCTTGGTCAGCACAGCGATCCTGATAACACCACCCTACTAAATCGTCCTTTGAAACTCGTTCGACAAGCTTTATCACGACAGAAAGAAGCAAAAGACAACGCTTCTCCTAATGCCCAACCCTAAACCTTAAACTCTATATTCCCCGGACTTTGAATGCAAATGGTAGGCCCCTGTCAGCCCTAAACTCCCAAAAGGGCCAGATCCCCTGAACCCTCCCTTTGGTCCAACTTTGGCCTCCTCTGGAACCAAGGAAGCTGTGCGCATGATGACCTGACGCTGCCTGGGCTGTCTCTCTGCACTTTGCGGGCTTAGGGTTTAGGGACGGAGCATCTGGGACACGTTGGGGCCACGTGGTGTAATGATTATGGGTGGCTTCGGAGGGCTCAGGGTTGTCTATATGCTGGCACAGAAACTTCCCGCCACATCTTGATCTTGAACACCACGAGACGACTCTTTTTTTGACTTGGCCATGAATCGCAAACAAGCAGAGGGAAATTACACATGACTGAGCCTTCTGAACATCTTAGGGGCTCGGAATGTGCCATGTAGAAACTTAGCTTGAAAAGCGTCTTGCATTCGGACTATACGGCGATGTGTTTACTAACTATTCCCCCAAAACCCCTCGGAAAACATGGTGTTCGAGCACCCAAAATCCTGTAATTCCTGCAAGCCCTATGAACCCCAAGCCTAGTAAAGCCAACTAAGCCCTGTAAACTCTAACCTAAACCTGAAAACCTGAAGTGGTGTCAGAGTCCCCTATAATATAAGGCCTATGAGCCCTCCCTAACCCGCCAACCCCAATGAACCCCAATCAACCCTACATCCTTCAGACTCCGGAAGGGGATCTCTACACCCTAAACCGATCTCGGCATGCGGGGCTTTCTCGAAGCAAGGTCTCAGCTCGCGGCTTCCGGCGATCACAGGTAGACACCTGGAACGAATAGAAGTCTCGGCACGGTCATTTACGAATAGTTTTCCGTCATAGCCCCTGATATGAGTATACAAAAATGTCCCAAACACTTTGTTCCATTTCTTAAGGTCCCTATCTTACAGTCATATTTAGGGGGCCTTAATGCTTAGAATAGTGTTCCTTTAATGGGCGCCGTCAAGGGATTTATAAGAGGGTCAAGGGTTGTATTATAGGGCCTGAATGATAGTGGAATGAGAGTGCAATGCTGACCAGTTCGGGCAAGGCTGCAGGGCTTATCTGCGGTTCTATACCATTTGATGTTCAATGCTGTGGCGACTTTAGCGTTTCGAAAGTTGCCGTCGGGGCTTGATGGGGCTTCTCCACAAGAAGCCGCGAAACTGGAAAGCCTTCAACTCCATTGTTTAGACCTCTTGAACATCCCCCCGAAATCGGAAGAGAGAACCACGAACACCGAAAACTAAACCTGCCTGCACCCTAAACTCTCAAACTTACCTTTGGTTAGTAGGGAATGGAAGAATGATAGTGATAGTAGTTATAATTGTACCCCATTCCTCCGTTCCCTACTAAGCAAAGGTAAGCAAAGCCCTCAACGCCTTCGCCTCGCCCGCTGCCAGGCAGCGGAGCACCGCGCGCAGCGCAGCGTTCTCACGGCGGAGAGCCGCCAGCTGCGCCTGCTGGGGTAGATTACACGAGTTTACACAACTGTATATATATATATATATATATATATATATAAGCTCACCCCCCCCCCCCCGTTGACAGACCATGCCCTTGTGATAGTGTACTCTCGTTCGGTGACTAGGCTGAGATATTGCATCTAAACACACCACACATGACGACAATCTGTAAAGCAAATCCTTTACAGTACATATACCAAGTATACTTTTAACATGCCATGTACTGAGGACGCATGGACCAGATGCGCGACACGTGAGTTATGAGTTTTGTGGTAGCATTGATATAGGATGAGTATGAGTACTAATATTGGTATTAGTATTAGTATCAGCAATAGTATTAGTGTTTACTGTAAGTATGTATGTATATATATATATATGTATATATCGACAGTAGTAAGTACACATTAATGTTAGTGCTCATCTTCGTTTTAGTCTTAGTGTTAGTGCCAGTGTCAATGCCAGTAATAGTACCACTGCTAGTATTAGTATCAGTCTTCATGCTGGGTTTAATATCAGTTAATAATGGCAGAGGTGCTAGTATTGGTATCAAAATTAGAGTTAGTTTCGATATGTTACTATTCTGATAGTTTCGTATGTCAGCACGTTAGTATATCAACACATTGATGTGTTCGAGAGGCAACATATTTGCATACTTGCATATTCGTAGATTTAATACTTTAGTACAACTGATGCATGAGTAAACTAGTATATTGCTGTATTAATATATTAGTATATTAACATACCAGTATATTCGTACATTAGTGTATTAGTATACTAGTATATGCAATATACGTGTATTGTCTAAAGGTTTATAAGTGTATCAGTATGTTGTCATATTAGTACACTAACCTGCCACGTCGGTATACTTGCATATTACAGTAGTCGCATACTAGTATAGTAGCATACTAGTATAATAGCATACTAGTATAGTATATTCACACATTAACAAGTAGTGTATTGTTACATTGGTATATGGGTATATGCTTGTCCTAAAACATCAGTAGATGAATGCATTGATACATATTAAGTTAATGGTATGTGTTCTGGTGTGCATTAGCATATGCACGTGTCTTTTGTAATGGTATTAGTCTTCACATCAATATGAATATGACTATTGGTATTCGTAGGAGTATTAATGTTGATATTCGTATTAGGATTACTCATAGCCGCATTAGCCTTAGTATAAGTGTTAATAATGGTATTAATACTGGCATTATCTTGAATATTCAGCAAGTTATCAATGTCAGTATTAGTATTGGTGACAGCATTACTGTTAACAGCATAAGAGTATACGCAGTAGTATCCGTAGGAGTATCAATACTTATGTAAATCTTGCTGTTGGTATAAACAGTGTGATTGGTATTAGTAACAGTGCTAGTGCGAGTGCTAATATAAAAATGAGGTTATGTATTCGCATGAACGTTTGTCTTATATTAGTATTACTCCTGATTACATGAAAATACTAACAGATAAATACATGCATGAGCTAATGTATTTGTACTTTAATATAGTGGTATGTATATTTATGTACATTGGTACATGCAGGTGTGTATTAGTATTGGAATTAAAATACACTACTACCAATATGGGCATAATTATTGATATGCGTAGGAGTATGAACGTCAGTATTAATCATGATTAGTATTTGTTATTTGTATGGTGCCTATTCGTATTGGCTTAAAAAAGTGTAAATATTAGTGTTAATGCTGGTATTAGCTTGGGCAGTCAGCAAATGATCAATGTCAGAATGAGTATTGGTAATAGTATTCGTAGGAGTACCAATTTAGAAAAATAGATAAACACTGACAATCGTCTAAACAGACCTTGGCTTTGCAAGTGAGTCGTAGTGCATGGTCTGTCATCCGATGGGTCACAATCAGCCCATTGAACATCAATTCCAGAAGTTTCAAAATTTCCATCCAAAATTTCCAAAATCTCCGAAATCTCCGAAATTTCCGAAATTTCCAAAATTTCAAAAATTTACACAAAATTTCCACAAAATTTCCAAAAATTCCAAAAATTCCAAAATTTCTAAAATTTCCGAAATTTACAAAATTTCCAAAATTTCCAAAACGGCCCGACCTAGCCGACAGTATTTTTCCAAAACAGAAGTGCGTACTTTTTGGAAATTTTGGAATTTTTGGAATTTATGGAAATTTTGGAAATTTTGGAAATCCGGAAAGTTAGGGGAGAGAATTTTGGAAATTTTGGAATTGAGTTTTTGAAAGCTGAGTGCCACCTCCCCCCGATCACAGACCATGCGCTACGACTGAGTTGAAAGGGCATGGTCTGTCAACGGGTCTCAGTCTTTTGGTGGTTCCACAGATACGTTCGGAGGGCTCAAACTCGATACCCCGGAAAAAGCACGAACACGCCGGTGGGAGCGATGTTTTGAAGGGGATGGTCTGTCATGCGGGGGGGGGGGGGGGTGACCATATATATATATATATATATATATATAGATGTATATACAAAGTCTACATATACAGTACATGTAATCACATGTACATATGCATATACAGATATGTCTACATATGTGTAATCACTTCTGTATAAACATGTGCTTGGGTGTATACATAACTGCCAGCATTATTGCTTGACCCGAAGGGTCCAAAGGTGGGAGCAACACCCTGTGGACTGTTTTTGAGAGCTGTTTTCCGAAATTGTAACAATCCATAGTAGAGGGTTAAGGGTTTTGGGATTTCGGGCTCAGGGACTTGGATTTAGGGCTTAGGATTGATGATGGTGTGCTGTCATGACTGACTCTGAAAGTTGAAGAAGCTGCAAGCTTGCATGGTGGGCTTTTGCGGGGCACTGAAGACCTTAACCCCTTGAAGGAGCCTCCGTGTCTAGGCAGCCGGGTCGGTTGGCATCGGCAGCCACCTTGCGTTTCTTTTTGTTTCAGAGCGGAAGGCTTTGGCAAGATCTATGCTTGGCGAGAGCTTGCCTGCAATCCGTACTTTGCGACAGTACTACTGCCGCACGCCCCTGCAGATACCCGTGATATTCTAGGTGTCGATGTCGACAGTCCCCGAAATTTCTTTTAACTAGGTCTCTATATTGAACAATAACGGAAATTAACAACTATCCCAAATTGCACGTATCTCTGCGACTGCAAGTATTTCTCATCCTCGGAACCCGTGAAACTCAATCCACCTAATTAGGGTTTAGGGTGTAGGGGGGCATTCGCTGAAGCACGGTTGGAGTTCATGTCCTTCTACAACTGCATGCACAAGACAAGGCGATAGAGATGTCAGTTGCTGCGGCTCCTACCTACATGTTGTGTACTTAAGCCTTACAGTACTTGTACCTATATCGGAACCCCTTTGAGGCGGAAGTAAACCCCAGATTCAACAATCGACTTTGCGCGCGTCTGAAGTCGAAAGGCCGACATGGCTCATAAACGGGGTCTGGATGAGTCGAGCAGAGGTTGCCGGCAGCCGAAAATGTGAGCAATGTTGGTGCTAAAGTTCGTGGATGACGTGAAAAAACTGAATTGTGTATCGTTTGTTTGGCACTTCTAGATCGCGAGGCCACAAATTCTGCCCCCGTTAATAGTATAGAGCTCTTGGTAGATCATTTACAGACGCCCCCACAAAACGCTATGCTGCGATGGGACGACTTTCCAGTTCTTGTGATCCTGTTAGGCCCAATAATCAAAAACGTGCCGAACTGTACTTAAGACACTATCAGGGGCAGTTACCAATGATCTTCGTGTGCACATGCCATGCACAGGCAGGAACCCCATGATGGGGTTCCTGCCCTGGGGCAGCTGCATGGCCACATTACATCCTGAACTACAACGAGAGCCTAAGGAATACAAAACAAGTTTAAGGCTCAGGCACTGAACTGAAAAAACCAGTCTGCATCCTGAACAGTTAAGCCCCGAATGTAGCCCTAGACACAATAGGCTCAAGACCCAAAGACCCGAAACCCCAATTCACCTCCAGCTGCTTCAGAATGGCGCTTGCAATCCTTTGCCGTGACCTGGCAAAGAGAAACTGTCGTGGACGGCCTTATTGATGAGAGTCCGGTGCTGGGACCCAGCATAGTTTGCAATAAATACAAATTAGGACCATGAAGGACCATGGTAGCTGGTGAAACACCTGTACTTACCCCATTGCTGCCATTGCACAGCTCCTGGACCCTGATAATCGGCTCATCTTTCGTTTATGGCAAATTTGCAGAAGCGGACACGAGTTAGAGATTGCTCTGCGCAACAGAGGTGGCCCCCAAAGGCCCTAAACTAGCATCACCTGCAACAGGCTAAGCGGCACCAACGAATCTCCAAACGGTCGGCTCAAGGCTGTGAAGGGCCATCAACGAAAACGAGGCCTGAGGGAACAAGGAGAAGAACCAACTAGAAGATACTGACTGAAACTGTAATCCGATGCACATCTCACTCGGCTTTGTAATCTCGATGAAGTGACGGTGAAACAACTACATGCTGAAACTCTGCAACCAAGACGTTGCACCTCTCAACCCCGAGACCCTGCCGGGGCAATCGACAAAAAACAACCTAAACCCCTAAACCCTATAGATCCCTTATAGGAGCCCTTAAAGGATCCCTTTAAAGGAACCCTAAGGTACCCCTAAGCAAAAATGGAGAAGAACCATCGGCCCGAGAAACCACACGAATCCAAAACCACCCCCGCCTTGCATCCGCATCGCTCTTCTCTATGTCGGCGATGCTCTCCTGGAGTCGTGCTAGTTTCGGAGATTGCTACTAGTTGCTAGTGTTGCTACTACTAATCGTAATAACGATACTACAGCTACTAATAATGGTAATGACAATGTAAGAAAGATTTATGGACATGTAATGCATGCTACTGCTGCTGCTGCTGCTGCTGCCCCAGAGTCCTTTGAATGACGCGAATACTAAGTATGATCGAAACCATATTGGAGGCGTTCTTCTTTCTGGAGCCTTATAAGCCAAGAATGCATTGTGTGGTTTGTCGGAGAATTCTTGATACCTCTCAAACCTGTTCATGCCTAACCAACAACCCGTAAAGTAATGAAGTTCGGATTTTCGGTGAACATTGCATGGATTTCCAGTGTCCTCCTCGCTGCTGGTGTTGTCTTCCGACGTGTCTCCTGCGCGAGGGTCGATCATGGTCGATCTCAATGCGAAACATGTTGAACTCCTTCGTAACCCGGGGTTCAAGGTTTCGGATCTTTGTGTTCAAGGCTTACGGCTTGCATGTTTGCTCGTTTCATAACAACTGTCAGGGTTGACTTCTGTTGTACAACTTATTGTCACGACGTTTGCCAACCTGTTTTCGCTGGTCATAGGAAAGTATAAGAAGCTCTATGGCCATGTCATTAGGGCTTCGAACCTTTGAAGGATTAGGCTCGTGTGTTCAAGCTGCATTGGGGCTGTTTATTTTGCCAAGACGACCGTTGCACCGGGCTGTTCATAGGTCTTGTAAGGTTTTGCAATGAGCAAGGGTGGAAGGTACTTTGCGTGTCTAGCAGGGATTGGGAACCATGTAACGTAAGGTTGTTAACCGGAAAACATTAGAAGGGTCTTGTAAGCTTTGCAGACGCAGGGCTGTTGCTTTACCATTTGGGACTTCTGTTGGCGCACCTCTTTGGGGATGTCGGTGCGTGGTTCGACGTATCCAACCACTATCCAAACAGAAGCGCCGATACACGCTTAAACTGCTGTTAGCTCCGTCAACTTGTCATGGTCCGCTTACATGTCCTTAGATCCAAAATGAGAAGCATCGGAAACATGCCAAGACACATATTCTCGGGCTGAGCAGCGCCACAGCACAAAAGAGGACACCACGGAAACGACGACAGGGATTGCGGGATCCCGTCCGGAGGCCTACACAGTTTCAACTGGGTCAAGAAAGATCCCCACGATGGTTGACCTTCTTACTCTTGGAAGGAGTACTGGCCACCAAGTGTGGTTACCATAGTTCTGTATACAATGATCGCTAAAGATCCCAGGGACCGTAGCCTTAAACAATATCTACCATGCGGTATCGGGCGTTGAAACCTCATTTCTTCTCTGCCCCCGCACTAGTAATACCAGCAGGAACCTGCCCCTAAACTCTGAACCCTAAACCCTATAGAGCCTAAACTGACTTCCACCAGTGTGGGGTGGCCTCCCGGCAAATAGACTTTGGACGAGTCAGAAAGGTTCACCTCAAAAGCGTGGGTTGTGGCTTCCAGCGGACCCCACCCCTTAAAGATCCCAAGCCTGAACCCCCTTTTTGAACTTTGAGGATCAAGGTGGGGAAGATCTATGGTCGAAGGTCGGCATACTAAAATGGTCGAGCTTAGCAAGGAAAGGGCTCGAGCATCTGCTTCTCTGTGCGACTTCGAGGATGTTGAGAACCCCAGGCTCAAGCCATTACCCCCTGCTTTTATTTAGAATTTGGTTAGCAGAATATGCTTCGCCTGAAGGCGGTCGAGCTTTCAGGTTGTCGGTGCGATGCGTAGGTCATCCTGAATATTCCAGTTCTGAAGACAACGGTCAACTGAGGCATGAACTAGCAACGCCAAAGTTAATGTCTTGGTGGTCGCCCAGGATCTTCTTTACAATCATGTCCAAGCCTTTGATCATCACACTAGGATCCGGGCATTGTAGTCCAAGGTCCGCTGCTCTGGTAACCCATCTCGACCACTTCCTTCGCTCTTGTACGGCGTCAGATGCACTGGAAGCGGTAGTCGGAGCTTCCAGGGCCTTAAGTATCTGCTGCCTCTCTGCCATAGAGCCCGGCCGATAAAGGACCACAACGCGAGCCAAAGAGGCAAGAGTGCCAACAGCTCGACTCGACAACAGCTCGGCCTTCACTCCCTCTGGGACCGAGGCCAAAGTCATCGAAGAGGCTCTTTTGTCCACTCGAGACCATTTCTCATCCTTCAGCTCGCTGGTCTCGTAGTCGCAAGCCCTCAGGGCCAGCTTTCCCACATAGGAGGCAGCAAGGTACGCCTCGTAAAACTTTGTCAAGCAACTGAGCACTTAAACCCACCATTCGGCACTCGAGTTGGTTTACAGGAAAAACCTACCTCCCTCCTGATCCATCCCCTGCCTCATGCTGAATAAATCTCAGAACATGACAAGAACTTCACAGTGGTAGGCAAAGCCAAAGAGCAAAAACTAAACCAACAGCAAGATTCCTCAAATTCCAGAGCAGTAGGGTTTAGTCGTTGTCCGGGTTTGGGGTCTAGGGTTTGGGGGTTTAGTGGTATTCGAAGCATTCGTACGTCGCTGTCGAATTCCCAAGAGCTCCCAACCCTGCTTCGCCATGCACCATAAACTCCAAACCCTGAACCTGGAGTTCACCACCCAAGCACCTTGGCCATGGGAAGCTTGGGAATCACAGGTGCGGCCTTCGCTGCCTTCATCACAGCTTGTTGATTCCTATAAATATAGCCGTGTTAAAAAAACTAAAAAACCCTGTTCTGGTTTCGGGTTAATAGTCAAGGCTGGGAATTGGGGGCGCTCTCGGTAGCCCCATAGCGGCGCAGCGCGCACTGGAAGCCGAACCCTGACAAAAAGATTCGAAGCATTCCTTTCTCCAATAACTCGAAAAAAGCAGAAGCCAGATTGAATGATTTATGTCGGAATTTCGGAACATGTCTCAGTGATTGGGCAAGACAGCATTGCACATAATGGACAATCTTGGAATGTGCTGGACCACGGCAGATGAGGAGCTTCATCGACAACTTGACCATGGGTGAAAAAGTTTGAAACAACCCTACAGTCGACGGTTCAGGATGTAGGGTTTAGAAGTGCAGGGCGTGGTGTGTCTTCAAGTTCGTGTGCTTAGAGATTCAGGATGAAGGTTGAGGATTCCAGTCTGCGCGTGCAAATTTTCTGCATGGAGTTAGGGGTGTAAGGTTTCGACTTTCGGAAAAGCTCTAAATAGTTCGCTATGATTCAAGTGTCGTGATCACTTTCGGCTCATGCTGGATCCTGTCCTTTCTGCAAAGCTGGGGTCTTGACCGCGTGACAACACGAACGGTATTCTCCGACCTCACGAACGATTGCCATGCAGCGCGCCCCAAAGAATCCAAAGTCAACAAGAAGTTGAATGCGTGTGTATGGAACCACTTGCACCTGGTGAACACAAGCCTGTGGCTACATACTAGCACTCCACACACTTGCCAATGCAGGGAAGAAAATTGAGTGAAACTGTTACGGCACAGTATTTTCCAAAGCCCTCATTATGGTATGTTCAATCCTCCCGCCTTAGTGGCAGCTGGGCGCCAGTTTTGATCCACCTGCACGGAGTTCAGGTTGCGGTGAGCAGTAAGCGATATACATGGGAATTGCGGGCTGGCTTTGGATGGGCATGCCCGACCAAGCCGAGCAAGCTCTGCAAAGGCTAGCCACAGCCACCTCCACCGATATCCTCTCCCCCTCCAGTGTCCAAAGCATGTACATACACCCTATGAACCTACGCAAGTGCACATTTCATCTGTAGGCTTGAAATGCGCCCGCATATTATGGGAAACAGGGCTTACTCCAAAACCCACCAACCCAGTTGAAGGTACCTGGGAAAGTAGCAATCAATATCATCACTGCTTCTTCCCTAATGTATGTATAGCCCACGACATACCCGGAAAAAAAAACACACACACTCATGCCCCTAGATTCCATAGATTACATCCTAAACCTTACTAGGCCCAGTATTTCAGACACATTCAAGTCGGCTCTCATATATTTCAACACTAAGATAGCCAGCATGACTTTGACAACCAGTAAGTGCACTTAAAAAACTGGCCACCCACTTAAACCCCTAAACCCGAAACACCCAACCCCTGAACGCCTATAGCCTTAAACCTACAACGTTTACCCCCCGCCCCCCTCCCCTCCACAAAAAAACAAACGGACCAAACGGAACTTCCAGGCCGGATCTGCGCCTTGCATCGAGAGGAGATGAGCTCGTCGTGGGAGCAGGCAAAGACCTCAGCGACTTGATTTCTGGTGGATTTAAGGTTTACTGGTTAGGGGTTTAGGGTTTCCATTTTGGGGTTTAGTACTAACTTTATTGGTTAGGGGTTTAGGGTTTGGGGATTTAAAGGGGCTTATTCGAATTTAGGCTTTAGTTTGATTTTGAAGTTTGCGGACGTATGCTTGTCTTGAAGAGTTTTACAAGAGTTCCAGAAGGGTCTTATACTCTGTGGGTTTACGGGTGGGCTCGGAATACTTACAAAGCTAGAACTCTGGTCTTACAGTTAACAGTTAACGGATCATGGTTTGCAGTGATGTATTGGCTTCTTCGTGGCTTAGGGGCTGAGTACCCTAGCCCAAAAAGGTGAACCTATTCAATTTTGGTAGGGTTATATAAACCCCAAGAGGTTCAAGTACTACTCTGATATAGTACCCTTAGAATACCCTGATAGGTCCCTTAAAGGAACCCCTTACAATCCCCTACCCTGATAGATCCCTTAAAGGAACCCCCTTATAGCACCCTATGGACCCCTTTAAAGGTTACCTAGTCAGCTCCTGAGGTGGGCCTGGGGAGGGGATTTAAGGCTTCGGGTTTTGGCTCAGAGGCTAAGGAGGCCTGGCGCAGATGTGAAGACCTGCGATCCTCTCGCTCTTAGTTGGTGGGGATTTCTTGGGCTCAGGGTTTGGGGCTTCAGGGTTTTAGGGTTTAGGATCGTGGGGTGTAATCTTTAGGCTTCGGCTTTGGAGCTTAAGGTTTTGGGGCTTTGGGGTTTCCGGTCTTTCGGGTGCGGGGTTCAGCCTCAAACTTACATCCGCTTGTAGAGACAAGTCGCCTCAAATATCGACAGGGCAAAGTTTGTAAACCCCAAAATCCGAAACTTCAAAGCCTTGAGTGCTTAAAATCCCATATTTTAAACCCCAAACCCAAATCCCTCAACCCCAAACCCCAACCACTCGGCCCCCAACTCTCTAAACCCTGTAAACTTTAAACCCCACCCCCTAACCCCTAAAACCCGATTCCGAGGCCCGGGCAGTCGCAGCATCCCTCGTGGCTCCCCACCTGGCTTGGGCTTGGGGTCTAGGGGTTCTAGGGTTACCCCTGCCTCAACCCCCTTCCTCCTACTTCTCCTTCTCCTCCTCCTCCTCCTGCTACCGCCATATAACAGTTCCCTAGGCTTCGAACAGCACAGAAGTGGGTTTAAGTTTAGGTTTATAGGATGGTTTAGGGTTTCAGGTTTCCGAGTACTTTTCGGGTTGGGATTTGAGGTTGGGAGTTCGAGTTCCAGCCAAGCAGCTGATGGTCCCTCACGATCCACACATCATTGCCGCGGGGCACAGCACGTAAGACCTCGCATGCCAACAAGGCCGCGGCGTGATAAATTTTGGGATTTGATGCCTTTGAAACTTCATGCCAAGGATTTCTTGGGAGCCAGCAATACGGCGATCCGGACCCGCCTGGCGACGCAGTGGGAACTTAGCATGAATAGGTCCCAGGGTTCTGGGCATTTAGGCTACTATAGGGGCCTTAATACTCAGAATGGGGTTTTGGGGCCCACTATACTATAATTATCATAAGGAATCCCCAACATGATTTTTAAGACCCCGATAGTAGGCTATGAGGCCTCCGGTTCTGGGAGAGCTTCTCAGACTTCTGGTCATCGGGGCCGGGAGGTTCATGGGTAGTTATAAGTGGGGGTTCCTTTAACTCTTACAGGGTTCTATAAGGTTATAGGGTTCAGGGTTAGGGCAGGGTAACTTTCGTTACAAGCCCTATTACAACTATATAACTACCCACGAACCTCCAAGTAATTGACCTGTTTCCGAGCCGTCCGTGCGAAGCTTTTCGGATCCACTGTACGTCGGCAGTCTGAAGTATGCATGGTTATACAGGCATGACGGAATGCAACTGCAATCAAAGATACAACCGGCAATCTCCCTTCGTATGCCCAGTGAGAGAGATCATGGTCCACACCTCCCATTCCGGGTTGCGCTTCGGCGCCATGCGTACGTACTTGTACCTGCAACCGGGGCAGCCCACGCGAAAAAGCCGAAACTTACGAACCCAGAGCCCCAACGCCTTAAACCTAAGTCGCACGACCCGAAGGAGCCTCGCATGTGAACCCAAACGGGGTTTCCTTTTCAGGAAATGCGGGATCCCAGTCTATCGACCATAAACATAAAGTAAGACCCTCATTCTAAGGACTCCTCTAACGAGGGACGTCCGCTTTTCTACAACTGCCAGAATGCACGCAGCCCTGAGGGGCACCAAATCTCCAGCTCCTCGGCCCCCTCTTCGAGCTCCAGCCACATGGCGTTGGCCATGATCCACCTATGCGGGTTTAGAGGATCTCGTCTTAAAGCTAAGTCATGTGAAGATGTGTTGCTTGCCTATAGCGTTAACCCCGCTCCGTCTCCTTTTCCTGAAAGCCCTTAACCCAAAGCCCTAACGAAGGGCTCAGGGAAAAGAATCTTTTCTAACCAAGGTGTTTTGTAGGTTGAAGGGGTCGATGCACAACACTCCTCCACAGTCTCAAGACTCTGTAATCAACAAGTCGCAAACCTCGAGGCATCCACTCAAAACATGAAGGCTAGGGTAGGGGTCTAAATATTTTGAGAAATACTAGAAAATGAAGAAGCAAGTTGAGGACCCAAAGGAGTAGTATACTATGTATACTCCTAAATCTAAAACACGTCGGTTGGAGCGTAGTGGCCTCACTCGAAAGAATTGAAGTCAAGATTCCCTTTAAGGAGTCTCCGTGGTACTGCTTGGAGGTTCATGGGTAGTCATAAGTGGGGTTATAAGTAAGGTACCTATTAGGGGACTCAAAACCGCACTTATAACTACCCCTAAACTCTAAATCTTATAGATCCCTTAAAGGAGCCCCTATAACCCCACTTATAACTACCCATGAACCTCCAAGTAGACCCTGAACCCAAAACCCCTTAAGGGACCCTTAGAACTACCCATGAACCTCCAAGTAAGCCCTAAACCCTATACCCTGATAGTCCCTTTAAAGGAGCCCTTAAAGGAGTCTCCCTGATACTACAGCCCAAGATAGCTAGCCAAGCCGGCGCCCCCGGAGGGCCTCGGGTACGTCAGTTCGCTGGTGCTCAGCTGGCGATTCCGATGTTCAGAACCTCATCGTTAAGGGTTTAGAGGTTACCACCGTTTTTTTTCTTTGGTTTAGGGTTTAGGGTTTAGGGATTTAGGGGCTTAGGGATGTTTAGGGGTTTAGGGCTCAGGGCGTTTAGGGAGGGATGCCTTCGTTGAGTGGGGGGTTTATGAATAGTAATCTAATGGTTTTGCGCGTGCGGTTGGATGGAGAGCTATGCAGTAGTACAGGGTGCAGGATTTACAGTTGGGGTTTCGGCGGGCTTATGCATTCAGAAAGCTTCTGGGATTGTCCGGCTTCTGGATATGGCTCGGCGAGCTATCCATATAGTTTGCTGCTTTCCTCTGCCGGGGGCATATCTCACAGATACAGTTGCTGATCTGGGAATCATAGTTAGAATAGGGTCTTGGGGCCCACTATACTGTAATTATCATTAGGAACCCCCAAAAGAGTGTAGGCCCAATCGGAACCTTTGTACCTAGGCTGCAATTGGGGCATATTATCGAGCTCGACCGAAGTCCTACCAGCTAGGACCGTCGAACAAAAGCTGTGCTTAGGGGCTGAGTACCCTCGCCCCCCAAAAGAAGTAACCTTTTCAATTAAACCCCAAAGGTTAAAGGTTACCTACTCAGCTACCAAAGTATCTTTCTAAGCGCACATGATGCAGCCCCCGAAACTCCGCCCGCCCCGAAACTCCACGCCGAAACTAGCCTCGAAACCCCCGAAACTCGCAACTTCCACCCTTACAGGAGCCCGAGGCCAATGGAGGCGCCAACAAACTACACCGTAGTACCCCTTACTTGCCTTCGTAACGCGTGCAAACAGGCGTTGTGCAACTTAGCTGCTGTACACTTTTAGTTTTATAGTGGGTAATGTTATCCCAAGAAGTATAAAGTGTATCCACTCAGCTACTAAGTCAACATGTGACCGATCCGACATCCGCACTTGGCCTCAAGTAAGCCGGCCAAAGTAAGGCGGCCAACAAACCCTCGCAAACAGACTCTATGGCAACTCCATAGAGGAACCCTTACAGGGACGTTTGACCCTCCTAGTAACCCCTTTCAAGGAACCCTTCAAACGGGCCCCCCTTCTTGCGAAAACCCTTCGAATAGGCCCCACTTTCTTGTGCCTAAACCTTAAACCCCTAAACCAATGAACCCCCAAACCCTTCAAAGGGACCCGCCTCCCTTTTTCTTGGTGCACCCTAGACCCTAAGCTAAACCCCAAACCCGACAAAGGGCCCACCGCTTTCGGGTGCATCTGAGGTGCCGGTCGGGGCCCAGGATCCCATTCCGGGGTGGCAGCCGACCTGGGCTTGTGTGTTTTTTTTTTTTTTGGGGGGGGGGGGGTAAGTTTCGGAAAGGCTTCGGGTTTAGGGCGTTTTGGTCGGGGGCTTCATGGATTCAGGGCTTTAGAGGATCTTTAGAGGTGTAGAGTGTTAGGGGGTTTAAGGACTTATGGTTGTTAGGGTTTAGGGCGGAATCCGAGATGCCAAGCTCAGCGGCTTGACTGCGGTTCAAGGCGACTCAGGCGCCTGCCACGAAAATCAACTGGCCCATGTTCGTGCTGGCACAGTCCAGCCTCAATGCGGGAGGAGTGCATCCTACATCAAAATTGCGCTCGAGTTACGAACACTAACAGACTGAAGCCCACATCTGCACGAGATGGTGGTCCCAGCCGCAAGGCTCAGACGCTTCAAGCTCTACAGTGAAGGTTATCTAACTAACTGGATGTGGTGGTGGTGGCGGCGGCTTTTACATGCGTATCTAACTAGGCTACACCCGCAAAACATACCGTTAGCGCGAGCATGGTCCTTAACAATTGGAATAGTGTGAAATATGATCGTTTTGCTGTATATTGACTGCAACGGGTCATAATTCTTGTGGTCATTGCTCACATTATTCCGACCCCTGCGCTACTGCAAGCAACTTCTCGGTCAACACTCGGGATGAGAACCTTAAATGGGACAAGAGCGAGGACATGATCCGGGTGTCACCAGAAGCTTAATGAACAGTGTGAGGCATCCCGCACTGCCAAGCACAGGCAAAAGTATCGCATGGTACCGCTGAATGTCCTTGCAGGTCCACTTCTTTGCCGTACGAAGAGGTGGTCAGGGTTCAGGATTGCAAGTGTTTGAAGGCTTGGGCTTCTATGGTTGCAGGTCTTAGTTTCGCACCGTTCAGGTGTAGCTCTGGTGACTGTGAAGCTGAAAACTGAAAGCCGGCACTTCCTGCTGGGCACAAACCTGGTTTTGATCTAAGGTTTCAGCACGGCTTGAAGATGTAGGCCCATGTTTTGTAGAGCCTAAGATAGAGGACTCAGGGTTGGGAACTTCGAATATCAGCGCCAAAGGTTCAAGCTTGAGAGTTCAGGACTCTGCCTGAAGCAAGCACCAAACCCTGAATTCGGAAGTCTATACACCCGAAATTCCACAAAGGCCTACTCATCACTTTACATATTAAAGTCCAGAGCCCTCAGGCCTACAGTTCAAACCAAGCCCAGACATGCCGAGGCCCCGACTCAAATGCCACGGCGATGGACGGCATGGCGACCTCAGTGCCAAGGGCAATACAAATAATGCAAAATAGCACAATGCAATATTGTAAGATATGATGTTATGGAATACAATATTCGAATCCTCCATCCACCCAAACCTACGCGAGGAGTTCAGTTGCTCAGGGTGTGGAGATGCCATCACCTACTCGAAGAGTCACAAGAGCCACCGCCACATGAAGCCTACAAGAATCCGGAATGCAGGTAAGAAACCTTGGGCCCTGGGCCTTTATTCGGGTTCCTTATTATATATGAAGCCTACTACGTACTTTGGGGTCATAGGCCCAGGGTTTCTGAATCAGGTTCCTACATTAGGACAGAACCCGTCGTCCGTCCCTGTTTTATAAGACTCTTCTACTCCGAACAGCCTAACACCACCAGAACATCCTGCAGTCCAGGAGTCCTGAAGCCTGTGAACCCTAGAAACGAAACCCCATAATCCCCCGCGAGCCCCAGGCTGTGCAACATCCAACAAGCCCTAAAAGCCCCAACCCCAAAGCTAAGTTAGGGCCACATTCGCCCTCATTCCGAAACTCGAGCGAGCTAAATACCCTGATCCCCAGCTGGTGCAAACGAGCCGCGGGCTGCGGAAGCGCTCGGCAACAAACGTTCGATGCAGTCTAAGCTGCAGTTGCACTGCTATCTGATGCTTCAAGTTACATTTCCCATGCAAGGGCCGCCAGTGTTTCGGTGCATGCCTTGCTTCGGCACCCCGGGACCTGTAAATGAAATGCTTAGGGGCTGGGGCGTGGAGATGAATCTTTCTGCACTGTTATCAGCGTAGAATATCGACCCGAATCTTCAACATCTCCAACATCGGGGTGCGCACAACTAGCTAATCCCTTCTCGCTAGCCTTCGTAGCATGGATGCTGCTACTCGGCTGCGTATCTTGTGAAACTCGAACTTACCCTCGGCTAGCAGCGTTTGCTTTGTGCCAGATATGGCTTGACCCAAACGCAGGGGAGAGCTCAGACCTGGCGAAAACCCATACCGACGAGGTTCAAAAATCACACCCTTGACTGCGGGGCCAGGTAACAATGTACCCCTGTTGGAAGGTACCACGGGGCCCTTTTAGTTTTTGATTGATGTAGTTCCCTTAACTGGTCAGGATCTCAGAAACGAGGAGACACAGGAGAGGACTCCAGTGACGCCAGTTCAGGGCCCAAGCCCCAATTTGGGAAACCCTCACCAATAGCACCTGAAGACTTTCCAAACATCTTCCTCAGCCTAGGCCGCCCACACAAGCACTGTAGATCGGACCGACTGAACCCCCCCAACAACTGCTGCGGTAAAGCGGGGTTACGGCTGCCTGTGCTGCCTGTGCCGGCATGGGCACGGCCATAGACTTGAACCTGCAGCCGGTGTTGCGTCGTCTGGGGTTCTGGGTTCACAGGCCCACGCTGTCAAACGGATTTATCATAAGGGCCGGGCCTAAGTAGTTACCAATACTATTCAGGGGCTCCTTATTGTATTTAGTGTAACATACCACAAAACCCTGTGATAAATATTGAGGTCCCTATACTACTCTCGCAAGACCCGGACCTCAACGTCCGATAGATCTACGGCTTAAAGCTCATGAACATTGTCTACTCGAGGCAACTGTTGTGTAACCGATGAGGCCGTCTTGTTGACACCGCTGCTAGAGGAGATAAAACCTCTGAGCAAGGCTGTATGAATGGTTGTCAAAAACTATGGTCCTTTTTGGGCCCCCAATATAGTACGGCACCTGATATGAATTTTGACAACTACCCGTATAGTCTGTATCCAAGAAGACGCGAAGTTACCTGCTCAGCTACCAAACAAGTGACTCGAGCCTTGAACCATCAGTTTGACTCACTCAAAACCCAAGGCAATAAAAGTTGAAGCTTTCAGAATCGAATACCTTACCAGAACCCCAAAAGTTGAAAAGTTGAGTTTACAGCCAATCAGTTGGACCCTTTCATAAAAGAATCCTACACCCTAGAACAACCCTAAACCCGTATACCTGCATAGTTGCTGAGTTGATAAGCCTCAAAAAGTGTATACTTTCAGTTCTATAAGAGATCACATTATCTCAAAAAGCGTAAAGTATGCTCACTCGGCTACTACGTATGGAAACCCTAAACCCAAAAGTTCCCTTTGCTCGGGCCGGTGCGCAGGTGGTGGTACACCGGGCGAGCCGACCCCGACCACTGTGTTCAAAGGCGCACCTTAAGGGTTTAGGGCTTGGGCTTTAGAGCTCGGCTGTAGGATTTGAGGGGTTTGGCTTAGGTACTGCCCCCATACAGTAAGAGAGCCCTGTTAAGGTCTTTATCGTTCTATATTGTGAATATTATTCAACTATTGCTGAGTGGGGGCCGTATCCAAGGTTTGGCTTTTTCCTGGACCTTGCACCCTGTTTTAGGAGGCTCTTCAGGCTCAAGACGGTCTATATGATTTCAACAAACCCCCCAAACTCCCTATAAACCTAAACCCCCCCAACCTGGTGCTTGAGTTGAAAGAGGCTCTGGGTACCCGACTGTACCCCCGCAAGCCACGAAAACAAGACTTTTCGAAGTCGATCTCCGCGGCTTGCAAGCGGTAGCTAGCTTCAACTGAAGCTTCTAGGCAAGGTTGAAGGCTTAAGGATCTTGCAACCGGAAGGCAGCAAGCACACACCGTCTAAGACTCAACTCTCGATAGAAGCCTTCATTTCAACCTCATCTCCGATTGGGCTGCAACCTAAATGCAAAATACTAGCACGGTACAACACAGATCCAGATTCAGACCGAAGTTCGGATGTTGTATGCCGATGATCTTGCGGAGATCGAGTGGCGTACTGTCCTCCCTCGTACTTTGCCCCAAGGGCCCACAGCCTGCAACCCTGAAACCCAAAGTAAGTCTCTGAGCTGTACATCCTTCGAACAGCCGCTAACTCCCTGCCCCCAATTCCTCAACTGGCAAACCCTAGATAAGTAACACCGTATCAACCCCTATTATAGATCCCTTATAAGCCGGTGTAGATCCTTTATGAGTTTTTGGATGAAGAGATAACCGAAATTCCGTAAGTAGATCCATAGACCTGATAAACCCTAAAACCCTAAACCTACAGCTGCCCAAGCGAGCCCGTATAGATCCTTTTGAGTGAACCCTACAGAATGGTCTGACCTTTCTAAACCCTAAGCCCTAGACCCCCCCTAAACCCCAAAAGAATGAGTTAGGATTAGGGGGACCCTTGGGGGTATAGACCCTCTGAATAAAGAAGGATCCCCTTTGAGGGGTTTCCCTAATCCTACCTGGAAATCGACCATAATGTAATGGACCATAAGACTCTACTACAATCTACCATAATTATCTACCGTCACATACCAAACTATACCATAACCCTAAGCCCTAGACTCCCCCCCTGACACCCTAAAAGCATAAGAATCTATGTACAGTAACCAGTTTTTCGCATCATAATTTTCCATAATAGACCCTAAACCTCCCCCCCTAAAACCCTTGCCAAAGTATACCATAACCCTCAGCCCCAGCCTAGACCCCCTCCCCCAAAACCCTAAAAGCACCGGCTGCGACCGCGAGGCTTCTGAGCTCCAGGGGTCCCAGGGAGCGGCGCACGACCACGGACCGGCTCACACCTGAAGTTTAAAGGGTTTAGGGGTTTGGGGGTTTGGGGTTTAAGGGCTTAAAAGTTTAGGAGTATAGAAGTTTAGGGTTTAGGAGTTTAGAAGTTTAAGGGTTTAGGGGTTTGGGGTTTAGGGTTTAGGGGCTTTGGGATTAGGGTTAAGGGGTTTAGGGGGTTTTTGGGGGTTAGGGGTTTTGGGTTTAGGGGTTTGGGGGTTTAGGAGATGGGGGGTTTAGGAGTTTGGGGCTTTAGGGTTTGAAGGCTTCCGAACTTCCCAGAGACTCTCATATCCCTTGATTAAGGAGTCTTTTCTTAAACTATATTAGGGACCCTGCTTTCTTTTTAGGGTATATTCATGAAATCAGGGAGATTGGAGTCTCTGGGTTTGGGCTTCCATGAACTTCCGACCACTTGGGTAGTTCTCTAAAGTAGGGTCCCCTGTGCCGTACTATACTTGAAATCTAACAGCAGGCCCTATTTGTAGAACTACCCGCCTAGGAGTACGGAACTAAGGAATGCTTTAGGGGTTTCGGGTTTAGGGGTTTAGGGTTTAGGGGTTTCGGGCTTAGGGCTTTCGGGTCTAGGGGCTTAGTGGGCTTTGGGGCCTTGGGTGGATGCAACCGTCCGGCGAGCCCAGAGCAGAGCCAACGGAAGCAGAAGCTTCGCCTCGGCCCCCATGGCCCAAACCTTTTATCCAAGGGTAAAAGGAGGGACCCTTAAGAAGGACCCCTAGGTATATACCCTTAATATAGCTAGTCCATACCCATTATATAGCCCATTATAGGGTAGGGGTCCCCAGTAAGGGTCCCCCACCTTTTCCCCTTTGATGTTAATGCGAGACGCCGGCCTGGTCTGGCGCGCATCTGCCGCTCCTGCACAGCGCAATTTAGGGGCCTTGGGGGTACAGGATCCGAAGGTAAGAAATCATGAGAACAATACTAACAAGTTGTAGGGGCCTTAATGACTAGAATAGGTTTTGGGGCCCTTATATTATCTGACTACGAGAAATACAACGTGAGCATCGAAGTAGCAGCCGCAACGGTAGCAGTAATCAGAGACAGCAGCAGGAGCCGCAGGAGTTGCAGTTATACCGCAGAAGTAGAATTAACAGTACTTGCACAAAGAGCACAACAGTAGTGGATGTCAAAACGAGGTCCGGTGTCAGAACCGCCTATACCTGCCGCAATCTCGCATGCAAAGCAAGCTCATCCCGAATCCCGGAATTATGCGCGTTTACAAAGGGGTGGGGGGGGGGGGGGGGAAAGTATTGGGTTTAGGATTAGGGTCCGTAAAATTCTGGAGACCTGCGAAAAGCAGGCTCAGGCAGCCTGAAACATGCCTTCTTTTTTGACATGCCGGAAAACCACACGAAAGCAAACATATCCTTCTAGAGCCTTGTTAAATAAGGCCTTTTCTAAAACTCCAACACCTAAGTCCTCACAGGTAAAAGCCCCCATGGCATCCTTATGAAAACCTGCCCCAAACCCTGAAGCGTCAACCTGCAACCGACAAACCTTAACCCCATACCCATAACCCTCAACCCCTATACCCCCTAGAGCCTCAAAGCAACGCCCTAAACCCCCAAACCCTAATTCCGAATCCCCTCAACCCCTCATTTCTACGCCCCCAAACCCCTATATAATAAGAATAATAATAGCAACAATAACAATAACAATAACAAGCAACAGCTGTAATAATTCTAATCCCTGCTCAGCCCCCACCCCTAAACCCTGAACCCTAAACACCCCTTAACCCCTAAACCGTAATCTTGACCGTAGTCCTATTCCCTAAACTCCCAAACCCCTCGAATCCGCTATAAACCCTTATGGTAATCATGGTAATCCTTTCAAAGGGGGCCCTAAACCCTACCTATAATCCCCTACAAAACCCCACTTCTGCGAGGCCTCGACAGTTGACCAGTCGATCGAGCGAGTCGCCTGCTGCCCCGACAGTTCCCAGACCCAAATTGGGTTCCTTTAAGGGAACCCTCAAAGGAACCCTTAATAAAGGGATTCCTTAAATGGGGCTCTACAAAGATTCTACAAGAGTTAGTATGATGTCGTGGTGCTAGGGCTGTTTGAAGGGATCGTCTAGGGATCCTGAGTAGCCTACTATATATCAGAGTATATAATGGAATAGAAGAGAAGAACAGTATTACAAACTATGCTTTATTGCATTATCGGACCCAAACTTGAGAAAATGAGGTTTAGGGGTTGAGGGATGTGGATCTAGGTCTTAGGGATCAGGATTTAAAGTATTGGGATTGAGGGATAAGGGCTTACGGATTATGCCTCAACACGCCCCATTGGGTGCATACAATCGTCCGAGACAACATCGCCATAATGATCCGCTTATTGGGGGTGTGACATTGTGCTAAGAAGACTACTGTAGGAACCTGATTAAGAAACCTTGGGCCTTTATTAGGGTTCCTTCTATGAATCCTAGTATTTTGGGTGTGATAGGCCCAAGGTTTCTTAATCAGGTTGCTACATTGGTCTTGGCAACTCCTTGGCTTATCTTAGGTGTAAATGAGGACCACAGCAGAAGACACTGCATAAAGGAACACCCAGAACCAAGCGGAGATCCTTCCTTGAAGGGCTCTGGGCCCGTTTGGGTTGGGGAACGCAAACGTAGGGATTCGGGTTCTGGATTTAGGGTTTAGGGCGTAGCATCCTGCATGAGGGCTTACAAGGTTTTTGGGCCGTAGAAATGAGTAGCATAAGTCTGTAAACAGTGGTGCTGCAAGGAGACACTAGTCTACTCCTGACTATTCAAACCTCCGTTCTGCGGACCGTTCGGGAATAAGGGCAAAAAACCAAGATCGCTAGGGTTTAAGAGTGTGGGCATGTGAGTGCCATCCGATCTCATGCTCGCAACCATTCGACTCAACCTGGCACGGATCCCAATTTCACTGGCTTTTAATGCAAGGCTGGGCATTTCTGGGACCCTAAACCCGAAAGACGCTTTGCGACCTCCAGGTTATCCGTGGCCTCGGGCTGCAGGGCAGCTGCCTCCGAAGATGTTGAGGAGTGTGGCGGGCTGTCTTTGGGACGGTAATACAGGGACATGAATAATTAGAACAGGGTTCTGGGGCCCATGAAACTGTAATTGTAATAAGGAACCCCCAAGATAGTTTTAGGTATTTATTAAGGCCCCTATACTAGAGGAATAAGATGCCGACTTCCTGAACCGACTGATGTTCCAGACAAGAAGCGACTTCCATAGGGACATATAAAGCTGAAGCACGAGGGTACTGATAAAAGACCCAAAGCCCGAACACCGAAACCCTGCACCCGAAACACACTAATGAAGGACCACACTGTTCAAGAAATGGAGTTCGGATATGAAACACTCCAAAATGATCTCGACATTGGGATCCTGCCAAAAAACAACCCTAAAACGGGACCTCCGCTTCCCTGCAGCCCCCGCCGATGAAACACTTTCATGAAATCCTATAGAACTACGAATTTACGTCTACGCACCTTACGGATCAAACGAATTACTACGTCCTGTATTGTAGGGGCCCTAATAATTACATATACTGTTTTGGTGGTCCTTCAATACAATTGTAGGATGTAGGGCCTCGAAACCCAATTCAACTTATTAAGGCCCCTCCCTGAATTAAGAATCTCCGATGGTGCCCAACCTGACGCTCGTCGTCCCGGGAGCGGCGCAGCGTCTGCGATCGATCGGGTCGGGTCGTGGCTTCCCCCCACTTCAGGACTCGGTGTGTTGTGAAGCATAGGATTCCTTTCGAGCGATCGATCATTTGTAATCAGGTCTGGGGTTTCGGAATTGGGGATAAGGTTTTGGATTCAGCTTACAGCTCAAATTTTCGAACCTGTATAGAAACTGAAAGGAAACCTCTAAATCTTCAAAAAAATACTGTTCGTTGAAAGAGTGACTGGTTAGTGGTTCATGTACGAAGGACCACCGTTGCTGCAATCACCTGCGTGTCAGGGACAAAACATTGTATACTCCGGACAAAACATTCAAGACTCACGGGTCAGACTCTCCTGTTTTCGCCGGGTTTTGTTTTTTTGGGGGGTGGAGCTGTATGCATTGCAAGGCCATCACTTCCCCGACTTATTAGACACCTTTCTAATAACAAGACACTTCTTTGGGGCTCCCCAAATCATCCGTGCCTTTTACACCTAGTTTGCATTAGGGGGGTCCGGAATAAGAGCAGGAGCATGAGCAAACGTAAGAGCAGGAGTAAGAGCAAGAACTTAAAAACAAGAGCAAAGGCAAGAGCAAAAGCTGGAGTAGGAGCAAAAGCAAGAGCAAAAGCAGCGGGAAGAGCAGGAGCAACAGCAAGAGCAAGAGCAGGCGCAGGAGCGAGAGCAACAGACGTAGCAAGAGCAGGAGCAAAAGCCTGCGCAAGAGCAAGAGCCAGAGCCCCCAAAGGTGAAGAGATAAAGTTCACCCCGTAAAAAATAAAAACGCTATCCGAGCATGTACCCCCGTCTAATGTTAGGGGAATTGCCGGGCCGGGGTGACAAGCACAGCTTGCAGCAGATATCATGATACAGGTCTTCATTAGCGAATTTAAGCTCCTCTTCTCTGAAAGACAAAAATCCATTATTACATACAATTATATACTATGTTTCTACTATGTTGTCGATTAAAATGTCTTCAACCGAAAAGCGCCCCCAAGCTTTGTGCAGTAGAACCCGTTGGGCCACAAACCCAACAAGCCCCAACAGCCCAACACACCGCAATCTCCATAAATATCTTTGGATGAAAGCAGGGATTGTCTGCACTGGGCTCTCGTCTGTGGAAGCTCCTAGCTGCGCGGTCATCAGAAGCAAGGGCGGCCACCAAGGTCGGTGTGCAACTTTTTCCAAAGCGATCAGCTCCGCCACCTCCCGGCCTTCAGCCCACGCTAGCGGCAAGAGGCAGATCTCCGTTCCTGCGGGCCTCAGCACGTTGCCTGGCCAGATCAGTGAGCTGAACATATGCCTCCAACCGGCCTAAAAGCCTGAGCAGCAGCAAATAACGGAGCGCTCTGAGCCACCTCGAGGTTGAAGGGGTCCTGGTGATTTTGCAAATTGGAGAAGTTGGAGAAACAAACATCTATCAATGCGCGCAAACGCCAGGCATGCCTCCAAAGGGCAGATCTGAACTGAAGCAGGGTTTCAGTGTCGTTAGCGAGGCTGGGCGAAGGGAAATGGCACAAAAGCATCGTCATGTGCACAGGCCCAGGTAAGGGAGATCCGGGCCATTGTGGTTCATCAGGTGTACGGCTAATGTGCTCAGGCAGGCCAGGAAGGACTGCTGCCGCAAGGCTACGGCGTGTGGGGAAGGGCGTTGCAGGATCAACTTAGAGGTAGGTCACAGGATGGAAGAGCGTATCTTCACTGCGCTCAGCTACAGTCGAATGGGTCACGGAGGACATCTTCAGCGTGGCCAGGCGGCAGCAGAGAGACCCAGCTCTCAAGGCTTGCAAGGGAGGGTGGAAGCGGGGGTGTCCAGCTACCGCACAGGACGGCATTTGACTTCGTTGACATGGCTCTTCGGTAAGTTTTTCTGTCTGAGTTGCTGGCCGCAATGCTAGTGCGACCTTATTGCACTCGTAAGTTGGAGAACCAGTTAGCTGCACACACACACACCACACACACACACACACACACACCACACACACACACACACCACACACACACACACACACACACACACACACACACGCGCGCAAGTGCGAGGCGACAAATGCGCCTTGAGTACCACATCACCTGTCTGAACAACCATCCACTGGCAGTAAGCCATACTCAACTGACTGGCATTGTGGGGAATGCTCCTGGAAGCAGCAACTATTTCAAAAACAGTCCAGCAGAAGAAGACGAAGTAGAATCCAGCTCCTTGAGCCACTACTCTATTGCATGTGAATGCCTCCCGAGGAAAAGTCTAACCAATGGATTTCTCCCTCATTGCAAGACATTGCCATCGCGGGCCTGGGCACACCTTGGGGCCTTGGGTTTCCAAAAGGTATGCTAAGTCAAGCAGGATGTGGCTAGGTTTTGAAGCCTTGGACTTCCAAAGACGCTACATGAGATCTGTGCAGATGAAACTGGCAGAGCTGGAGTTGACCGAAGCACTATGTACTCGCCTGAGAGTCAAGCGAAACCGGCTGCCAAGCATGCGACGCAACAAAAAATGAACTATCGATGTTTGATTTGCCCCTCGTGGTTTTTTGTCACGGATAGAACGCCATTTTTCCAAAGGCGACTTCAGCGGTCTCTTGCTTAAATAATTCTATCACCCGCAACGCCCGGCAGTAATTAGGACTGAGGGGTTGTGGCTAAAAGCTGCTGAGGTTGGCGATGCCTCTGGGCGAACCTGGCTCGCCTTGCAGATGCGTAAAGCACCGAGCCCCGGGACCAAGTAGGATTGAGGGGTTGGGGCTAAAAACTGCCGTTGTTGCGTGGTGTCGCAGAGGTTGTCGATGCAGATGCCTCCGCACAGCAAGCGCAAAGCTGCATCGGACCAGTCCGGTTACACGGCACACGCTCTTCCCGCGGCAACTTTACGTGTAAATCAACTGCACCAAAATTGCGGAAAAAATAACTATATTTCCAGTGCAACCTGCTTTCAAAATGCGTACAACATGTACCAAAAGAAAACTGACACACACCCCGTCAAAACCCGCCCAAAGCCCAGGACCTGAACCCTCTGCAATTTCTAAAAACCCTAAACCCTAAACTCTCAAGCTGAACACCCTTCACCTTCAACTCGAAACCCTTAACTCTAAACCCTAAAACCCTAAACCCTAAACCGAAACCCTGAGAGCTTCAGGGGCATTCAGGGCTTCAGAGAAGAGGGTTGCCTCGAGCTCCAACGTGAGGTCCTCAGAGTCGACGAGCTTTGGGTCTAGGGTTTAGAGTTTGGTGTTTAGGGTTTAGGGCTTAGGGTTTAGGGTTTAGGCTTTTGGGTTTAGGGTTTAGGGCTTAGGGCTTAGGGTGGGATATGGGTAGTTCTCCACATCAGGGTCTCTTTAGGCCCTCCTCAAGGGGATCCCGAGAGTTCCTTAAGGGGATCTCTGTCGCGCTCCTTGCAGGGATCTTTAAGGGATTCTACAGGGGGTTTCTATAAGGGTACTGTAATGGGTACTTCTCGAAGAGGGCTGATTTAAAGAACCGCTTTCTGTGTGGATTTCAACAGAGTCACTAAAAAGGTGTAACATAGGGGCTGGATAGTTCGAACAGGGGTTTGGGGCAAACTCTATTGTATGGAATGTAATGCCACCAAACATCCAGGCCGCTACAGCGCCTTTCAAGGAACCCCCAAAAATCGATTGGCAATTATTTAAACACCCTATATGAGTTCTCCAGAGCATCCGTAACTTAGACTATGCCAACTCCGAGCCCGAGAAGGAGGAGGGTTTGAGTCTCAAGGCCTGAAAAAGACCAATAGTCTGCACTGTTACGGGTTACCTGAACCCTAAGCGAAGCTTCCTTTCTGGGGGCTGCCTATGATGATTTCCGTATACAAGTCCTAGAAGTTGGATTTTTCTGGGCTGGGTGTAGGGTGAGAGGACCCCTTTGTGTCTTTTACGATCCCTGGTCTTGAGCCTTAAAGAGGGAACGGGTGAATAAATCAGGCGTCTACATTTGCGCTCGGCCGCTGCTTGAGGGGCTTGAGGGGTCTAGTATGGTATACTTATGCCGTTACTTGAGCTTCTAATCTACACCATCTTTCTCCGAGTTTGCCCTAAACCCTAAACCCCTAAACCCTAAACCAGCAAGGCAGGTTCGTTTTCGGGGTAGGCTCTCCTTCTGAAGAAGCGTGTTTCGCAAGGGTCCCTCCCGTCGCTTGAGAAGGGACGTGAAGACCTGATAGGGCGGCCTGAATACTACAACTAGATACGGACTACAACGGGATCCTGCCACTGACGAGTAATGAAGCTACATTAATTACACAGAGATACTTCTAGGAACTATACGGGTACTATCAGAAGCTCTTCCGACCCCGTTTACACCCTCCTGCCCTGGCTTTCACGAGGCCCTGGCTGCCAGCTTGTCCTGCGCATCCTGCACATGCTGCTGCCACACCTTCGCCTGACTGCCAACAGGTGCTGTGGAGCGGGTCTTCTCCAGTTTGGGTGGTACGGTGAGCACCGTCTAGGGCCCACAGGCCATTTGAGTTTGGATGTCAGTGAGGGTTTTTTTTCTGCTGGAGTTGAAGGTCTGGGACCCTGGGGCCAAGGGCTCAGAGTTTGGGCGCGGGATTTCCTGCTGTTTTTGCACTGAGGGCGTTCGGGCGTAGGCTCCTACTTGTGTGGTGTAAGGTTCAAACTGCGGCTCAGAGGTCTTTAGCGTCCCTGAGGTGTTGGGAATACTCCTGGAGTAGGGATGTGGGTTTGGGAGAAAGCGCTAGCAAGACCGTAGCAAGAGCATGCTCGTCAACAGTGATCAACACAACACAGACGCGACATATCCGGGCAGTTGTAGACAAGAAGCTCCGTAGGAAGAGCAAACTCCAGGCCTTTTCGTGAGCCTGCTGCTGCTCATCCACCGCCTCGGATCCAGAGCTTCACGACAAACCGGCCACTCCGGCTAGACTTCTGGTGCTTAAGCTATGACTCGACATCGAATAGGTGCTGAGACATCTGCACGACGAAGTCGGGACAGCCAAGTAAGTAGCTGGGCGGTGTTGTGCTGAAACTCACTTGAGGCCTGCGGCCAAATGGTCGTTCAACCCGAGCCTACAAGCGAAACCGCTAAACACAATATCCGTGAAAACTTAAGCCTTTCAACCCAAATCGCACAACTTTCGTAACCCTGAACCCTAAAACCCTAAACCCTAAACCCTAAAACCCTAAAACCCTAAACCTTGAGGCCCCTAAGGACTCCGAAAGCGAGCGAGCCTGCTTCAACTGTTTCCGAAGCTCCTCGCTTTCCCGCACCTGCCGCCGATTTTGTCTTCAGCCGTCGCTTGCAGAAGTCGGGAAGGGCGTAGATGGGTTTACGCAGGGAGTTTAGGGCAGGGTTTAGAGTGTAGGGCTCAGCCCTTAGACTCTATAGTTTAGGGCTTAGAATTTAGGGTTGATGGCTTACGTAGAGTTTTAGGGTTCAGAACTTATAGGGTTTGGGGATTGGGCGGTTCGCAGTGTGATCTACCCCGTCCAAACGTTGTTCCGTAAGGCTTAAGGGTTTCTGATGATTTAGGGTCTTGCGGTCTGGGTTCAGGGTGTTTGGGGCTTTAGAGGGTCCTCACGTTAGTATACCATATTATACGATAATATCCTATACTGTACTTACATAATATACTACGACAAACAAGAATGCAATATGCTAGACCCTACAATATGCTCTTGTATACCATAGCATACTATAACTAGACCCTATGCCTCTGCGAGCGTTGCCTAATCCGATCGGGGCCTGGCCAGCCGACTGGGACTTGAGGCGCGTGACCTCGGTGTCACGCCTTGGTGCAAAAAGGGTTTTCGCAGTTAGAATAGGGTTCCCTTAGAGGGTTTCTTCAAAAGAGGTCTATAAGGGTTACTATTGGGTTTCTATGATTAAAAGGGCTTTTGCGGTGCATGAGGCCCCTGCATTACCGACTTGAAGCAGATAAGGCTTCATGTAAGGTGCCCTGCATGGCGATTGTTGAGGTTAGGATGGAGTGAGCTTTGCAACGAATGACTACTCACACTACCGACGCTGTTACTCAGTATCTTTCCGACCGCGAATAGAACGACTTGTGCCGTCCATGGTGGTAAAGATCTATGATCCCTATCGTCACTAGTCCACTGGTTTCGGCTTGTGTCGCGAGGGGTGCATGGTCCAGGATCCACTTGCCGCCCGACTGGCCCGTAACCCTGTACCCAAAATCTAAAACCAATGTCTTGGGCGCCTGAAACCACCCATTGCCCAGTTCCGGACGCTCAAAGAACAGGGTACTTGGAAAGCAGGGTAACCCTAGGAACTATTTCCCCTCCTGCTCTGAATATAGCTCCCTCCCCGAACAACCTAGCCACGAGCAAACATAGACATGCTGAGTAAGAAAGGGCTCCTGAAGTCTGGATAAGTAGAAGGTAATATAAGGGCCTTCATGACTACGATAGGGTTTCGGGGTATATTCTGGTGTAACTATAACTTAACCAACAGTGGATATCTATTCCGACCTCTATACTAATACCATTACCCTGGCTCCCTGAACACAGAAAAAAGTCCACCCACAGTCAAAACCATGTTTAGACCTTGCCATACTACAAACCTATGCTCTACAAAACCCCTTCGACCCATCCTGACAAACATGACCCATAGTAAACCTAGGGGGTTATATTGCCACATGGTACTGCGAGGCATGCTCCGAAACGAGATATGCTCGGGGCACCGGCTCTGCAAGCTTCGACCCCTCTGCATGCCTGGTTGACTACAGCAGCGTTCCTTTAGAGGGTTCCTGGACCCTCGGTTGAGAAGCATTCAAGCTGTTGCTTATATACCTGCATATTATACCTACTTCATGTGGTATCAGAGTCCATACAGACGTATGTGCATACATGCATGTATAAGTATACAGGTACGTGTATACAGCTTAGATCATCTGCTCCCAGTTCCTTGCGCTGTTTGTGCGCTATGCTGCATCTAGACATCCAGGATGACAGCTGTGCATGGCTGTCGCGATGCATGGAGACTTTCTGTCAGGTCGTGCCATGGGAGGTAACCTATTATATACACACATATATGTACGCACATACATATGTCATTTGAACCACTACCAACCTTAGCTGTCACGGCATGTAAGTAAACAAGCACATACCTAGGTCTAGATGTGCGTACATATATGTGCAAATGTTCGAAAAATGTATATGTATATACCCAGAACTACAAATGTGTGCTCAAATACAAATATGGAAATACCAAAACCTATACAAATAGAAACCAAACATCGACATTTAAATCAGGATATACAGTAACCACCAAACGCGCACATAAGTACCTCAATAAGCAAAAAGCAAAAACAAAACGTAGACATATCTGAGTTTCTTGTATATAACCAACCTTGTGCCAGGATTCCTCGAACAAGAGTCAAACGTTCAGAATTGCCGCTGCGCCAGGATGTTTGAGAATAAACGCACGTTCCCGAATTAATGTAACGTTGGTAGTAGGCAGAGAAGCAGGAAAAGGAGGAAGAGAAGGGGGGAGGAGGAGGAGGATGAGGAAAAGGGGCAAGCAGCACCAGCAACCCGTAGTAGCGCCAGTGGCCATCGTAGTAGAAGAAGACAGCAGGAGCAGAAGGAAGAGGAGCACGAGTCGGATAGGAGTGGTAGGAGTGGCAGAAGCTGTAGGAGCACCAGGAGCACCATTAGTCGCAGCCGTAGTCGTCACTGAATCGCGCTCGATTCTGAGTCTCCAGCTTGAGTTGCTTCTCCAGATCCTGGCGTCACCGCAGCATGCGAAGTACCAATGCCGATGTCCAATCTTCTATGCTTCAAAGCCCGAAACGGCACATTTGATGGATGAGGGGCCTGAGTAGAAAGGAACCCTTTTCTTCTCAAGTTACTATATTCACACCTACTGAACACCCTCTTTGGCAAGCTTTCAGGGCCTTTCGGCCGGTCATTTCGGGCGCCATGCCGAACCGGAGGTTCATGGGTAGTTACAAGCAGGGTTAGAAGTCCCCTAATACTTGTAGGGCCTATAACTATAACTATAGTTACCTTACTTATAGCCCCACTTATAACTACTCATGAACCTCCAAGTACACAAGACCATCAATGGGGCAACCGCAAGTCTAGGGTGGAGGGCTTCGGGTCAATATCGCTTCCAGCCATGGGATCTGCACTCAAAACCCTAGCAAGAATTGAAAGAGTGCAGTTGCAAAGTATGCACAAACTCGATTCATTGGCATGTTCAATGAACTCGCAAACTCAAACACCTCCACATGAAAGGTACTCCGAATGGCCCGAATGAAGATCACAATGTGCAACAGACATGATACTGCTGCTCCTGTAAACCCAGTACCTCATCGTGCTGGCAATGTTGACATAGGGCCGACTGACATATGCACTGCACACACCAAAGCCCCAGAACCTGAAATCTGCATGCTAAGCCCTACTAGCCTCGCGAAATAGCACAGAGGCCGGAATAACTAGCAACCGACTCCGCATGCCCAAACTGAACCCAAAACCTTAAAACCCCAATACTTCCTCATCCAAAACCCTCAACTGTCAACCGACAGTGTGGCATAGCCCGCAAAGCCTCAAACTGTGAACATTGAACCTGCGCCCGCAACCTGGCATAAATCCATGCAGGAAAACCGTGGAGCGTTTGAAAAGCAAAACTAGCCCAAAGATTGTAACAGCGTACCGACGGCCCTAACCTAACACTGAAAACCCCATGGAACTGTTGTGAAATCACATTATACAACGCACTAGGCACTAGAGCCCTCAGAAGACCCTCCCCCAAAAACACTAAACCCTCACAAGACCCTGACAGAAAGACCTTTTAAAATTCCCCCCCCCCCCCGAAGCCCCGAAACCGCCTGGACTTTCGCAGCCAGCCCAGCGCTTTGCTCGCCTTGGCAATAGAACTTGGCTTTTGGATTTAAGGTTTGGGGGGTTTAGGGGTTTAGGGGTTTGGCGTTTGGGGGTTTAGGGGTTTAGGATTTAAGGTTTGGGGTTTAGGGTTTCGCGTTTGCGGCAGTTTTTGCAAGTTCTTCAGGCTGCCAATGCTTTATCAGGGCCTTGTAGTGCTGTTGATTCTGTCGGTTCGAAGATGATTTCGGTGCTGCGCTTGAAATTTACGATCTCGGGTCCCTGCTTCAAAGCTCCCCAGTCGGGCGAGAGAGACTTGAAGCGGCCTCAAAACGTCAAAGCCCTAAAGCCCCAAACCTCAAAGCATCAAAGTCGTAAACCCTAAAGCCCTAAACCCTAAACTCTAGACCCTACTATTGAACCATTAACCCTAGACCCTAGACCCGAAACCCTACTTGGAGGTTCATGGGTAGTCATAAGTGGGGTTATAAGTAGGGTAACTATGGTTATAACTCCTATTAGGGGCCTTATAACCCTTCTTCTAACTACCCATGAACCTCCAAGTAGTGCCCAAACCCTGAAGCTCAAATCCCAGCGCATCTCCGGGACCACCGGCCGATCTGGGCCACGAGCTTCTGCTGCTCCGCCAGGGACTGCAAAACAGAGTTGAGTTTAGAGGTTTAGGGTCTATAGGGGTTTAGGGGTCTTATGGGGTTTAGGGGTTCAGAGTTTAGGGTCTAGGTTCCAGGGTCTATAGGGATTTAGGGCCTCTCGTTCAGGGGTCAAGGGTTTACGGCCTAGGGCTTAGGGGTAGAGGTTTAGCGTTCAGAGGTTAAGGGTTTTGGATTTAAAGGTTTAGGGTTTAGGAGTAGGTCTGAGTTAAGGTGTAACCTGGACCCCCTGTTTTTGCAGGATCCTTGTAGAGTCTACGTTAGAGCGTTTGGGCTTATGATAAGAACCTACTATGTTGTGGAAGGTTTAGGGGTTTGAGGATGGGTCTGGGAGTCAGATGGGTCAGCACTCTGTAACTATGAGCATTCGTATTCAACCGGATGCCTGAAGGGGCAAACTCCACGACCTGCACAAGTATATCTACACAGAGATGCCCTAAAGCATGCATCAGTTTTGGGTCTTGGATTTAGGGTTCAACATCCCATCACTTGATACTCGAAGGCGTCAAAGAACGAGATTCTCTCGAAGCAGCAACTTCGTGACCCAGTCACCTTTGTCACACTGGACCGAAAACGACGGACGGCCGAAGCTTCCCCTGAACCCTCAATCCTAAACACCGAACCGCCAGGACCCCGAAACCCTGAGCCCCCTAAAGCCTACATAGTATCTCAAGGTGCAGATCTCCCCGTCGAGGGGTGACCCCTGACACCACCAAACCCTGATGCGTCGTGAAGCTGACGAGATCTCAGCGGCCTGGCCTGACATCACACAAACAACATTGACAATACTGACAGGAGTAATATGAAGAATCCTGACAACGATAACAATCATAAGAGAACCATTGATTCACATATCAATATAAACATATTAACAACCTTGCTTGCGGGCCTTTCGCAAGCTGGCCACGGACTCCCTCTCTTGCGCCAGTTGCGCAACCTGGGTCCGAGGCAAAGGTGTTTACTTAGAGGCCCAGGGACTTACTAAGTCGGTTATAAGTAGGGTTATAATTAGGGTAGGGTGCTTATAACCCTACTTATAACCTACTTACTAAGTCCCCTGGGCCTCTAAGTGGGGTTTAGACCAACTTCTCTGGTTCCTTACAGCAGGTATTCAGGGCCCAATAGAGAGGAACCCTACACACCGAACTAGGCCCTGAACCCTCATCCGCACCTCTTCCGAGAAAACCTCCAGGGATCCGGCGGCGGAGGCCTTTCCAGCCGTCTCGGCGACCAGGCTCGTCTTAGCCTGCAAACGTCTAGGGTTTTAGGGCATCTATAGGGTTTAGGGCTGTTCGGGTGAAGGCTTTACTTTTCAGGGTTGAGCCATCCCCCACGGTTAGGGCCGTTTACGGCTCTAGGCTTTAGGATTCCCCCACTTCATGCTGCAGAGTTGAGGGACAAAGGTTTAAGGTCGGAAGACTAAGCTTTCGGTACTTACATCTAGCTTAACGACAGCAAAACCGAACTAGGCAGCAGTAGTTTTTGAGGCTCCGGTGCGAGCTTACGGACAGCTGGAACCCTTTGAATGCCAGAATCGCCCCAAAATTGCGCCTGATCCACTTCACGGCGCAACTGTTGACCTGGCTTTGGGTTTCTTTACCTACTTGTCGGGTATCATGGGGAACTAAAGGTTAACCTTTTTGGTTATATAGGGATTATATAGGGGCTTTACTACCCAAAAAAGGTTAAAGGTTACCTACTCGTTTAAGGCTTCTTTAGGGCTCCGAATTTCTGTACGGCGGGTTGTTCTACAATTGCTTTTGGGTTGCCGAACAAGGTTCATTAAAGGGTTCTTTCAGGATGTAGAACAGGGGTTCAATTTCGGGGTATCTATACAAATTACGAGTGTACCGTGTCTACCAGGCTACCCGTACAGTCTTACCAGAAACAGAGGCTGCTGCTACTCTGTTCGAGCTTTTGAGGTCCTTACTTTCGCGAGTGTACTGTAGTAGTGGGATGTAAGAGCCTGCGGCCATTGCAAAAGCAAGTAACACCAGCTGCAGCAAATGAGTTTGATGATGCGAAACGGTACTACTCTGGGTACTGCTGCCGCAATTGGTCCATTAAAGCGCTGCTGTTACCACCATGTGCCGGTTAGAGCGTTTCAATTCCTTAACTACACCCGAATCCCCGAGACACGACCAGGGCTGCCACAAGAGAGCTGAAGCTTTGACATCTCTTCGTGTCGATTCGTCCCTGCGGACGAGGGCTCGCATTCGTGGGATAAGGAGCCGTTAACGACAATTTCTTGATGCAGGATTACCAAAAAGGCAGGTGGGTTTCAAAAGTTTATCGGTATATACCCTAAACCCTGAACCCCAAACCCTCAACCCTAAACCCTCAAATAAACCCTAAACCCCTTAAACCGCTAAATTTGATCCTCAAGTAACGGGTCCCAAGGTTTTGGGTGAGCGATGCTCGGAGCATCGTGTGCCCGAGGGATCTGGCCCATGCGAACGCGTTGCATTGACTTTGGGCGGGTCGTAAGCGTTTACTTGCAGGTTATAAGGGTAGCTATAAGGGTCCCTTTAAAGGGATCTATAGGGATTCTATAAGGGTATAAGGTTTAGGGGTCTACTTGGAGGTTTATGGTAGTTATAAGTGGGGTTATAAGTCCTGTAATGAGAGTTATGATCAGAGCTACCCTACTTCTCACCCCACTTATAGCTACACATGAACCTCCAAGTAGAGCTTCCATTCGTTTGGCCATGGACTGCATTGAAAGTGCAAGTTCTTATCAACCTTATTGCAAGTATTGCTGGGTTTCCAGAACCTCGTAGCGGCACAAGTACTTGACCTCAAGGGCTAAAGTGGAGATTCCAACAAGGAAATGGTAAACGAGTACTACTGGGGGCCTTGGAACAGCCTTCTGGGAAGCTCGTAGGCCCCACCGCGAAGTCGCCTAACCCTCTTAACCGAATCCCGAACCCAGCCTGAAGCCCTCAAACGAACCCTTATAGCGTAGGCTTATAAACCCTAAACCCTAAACCCCTATAGGACCCCGAGGACCCCTGACAACCAAAGTTAGCAGCTAAGCACCCACGAGGCAATGTCTCGTCCTAGTTCGGACATGCAGTTCCCTTCCAGGACATTCTTTAAAGGGAGTTTTGAAGAAGGGGCTCCCCGAGGGGGACGCACATGGCGGTCTGAGTCTAGGGTTAGTACAGGGATTGGGGCTTGAGGCTGTGCTAAACCATAAACCCTGAACCATCTTAAACCCCAAACCGCATACACAGCCCTGAACCCTAAAACCTTATGCTGAACCTTTCGCCACAAAGTATTGTATAGGTTCTAAGCCGACCTAGCACATGAGTTATTATAACTATTAACGACCCCTGCAATATACAACGGCCGGTAGCTGTAGAACTGCGGAACCCTAAACCCCAAACTCGAAACCCCGAACGCTAACCGCTACACGCTATACTTTACATTAAGACCTATACTCTACTATAACATGTTGTGTCAAGCAATTTTTATATATGCTTACAGTAAATTACGAGAACAAAAAAACTGGATCAAGCCCACCTTCTCCCCGAAGGCTGTCGACAGACCGCAAGCACTTCTCGTGCTCGGCCTCTTGCCAATGGAAAGTGCTCACCATTTAGGGGTTTAGGGTTTAGGGGTTTAGGGTGCTTAGAAGCTTAGGGTTTAGGGGTTTAGGGATTTAGGGTTTAGAAGTTTAGGGTTTAGGGGTTTAGGGATTTAGGGTTTAGAAGTTTAGGGTTTAGGGGTTCAGGGTTTAGGGTCTGCAGTATTGGACTGATTCTCCAGCAACGGATCCATCTGGTTCTTAGGAACTCGGAACATCTCGGAACTGGAACACTGGGCCCCACCTCCACAACCCAGAACCCCCAAGCAGAAAACCCCAAATGGGAGTTTCCGAAAATAGGGGGACCCTAATATAGTATCTTAAATAATGGGATCCTTATTATCAGGATCCCAACATAAGCTACCCCTAATCTTCGGGAACTCCTAAACCCTAAAACCCTAAGCCCAAATCCTGGAGTCGAGAGATGGTGCCAGGGTCTACGAGAACCGCCTTTGGCTTCCCAACAGCTGTGGGTTTGGGGGGGTTGGCCTGCTAGGGGCTTCTAGAACTACTTAACAATTCCGACCCCTACATTTGGGAGTTTCTGTCAATTAGGGGTACCGTATTTTGGGGGCCATTAAAATAAGGATCCTACTGTTTAGGGTGCGATATTAGGGTCCCCTACTTTCTGATCTTGAAACCACAGTTCAGGGTGTAGGGTCCTTAATCATCAGAAGACGGTTCTGCGGGCAAGTTAGTCTACTGAAACTACAAGGAACCCCAACGAACAATGTTGGTATGTCACTAGGTGTTTATACGATAATGTGAGTTTAGGTTTCGGGTTTCAGGCCTACCTATTCGGTGTTTAGGGCGGTAGCCGTTCAGGTTACGGTCGCATGCCACACTCGCATTTGCAACCGCAACAACAGCTACTACTACTACTACTACTACTACTACTACTACTACTACTCCTGCTGCTGCTACTACTACTACTCTACTACTCGTCATGCACTGGCTGGATGGCTGGGACGGGGTCTTGACTGCGAGTCTCATGCCTTCTTCACGGCGCGTCATCGGGTGGCGAAGACCATTTTCAATTCTTCGAAGAGTTCCCGACAACTCAATATGTAGGAAGACAGCAACACAAAGGCTCCTCATAGCGGAGATCTATGACCTATGTTCAAGCCTTACCATGTAAGGCGGCTCATGGTATATAACAAGACATCCGGGCGATTTGGTGAGAGCCTCACCCCAGAAGTAATTTGGTGATTCTGCACCCTAAACCCTTAAGGCCCTAGAACAACCTAAACCGAAGACCACCTCTGTCCCCGAGGTGGCCTGCAGGGATTTGTACTTGGTCTGCAGCTTTGACAGCTCCTGCGTTTCGGAAATTTCGGGTTCCGGACCGTCCGTTTCGAGGGATTGGCCTGCCCCACAGCTTATGTATCCTTTCGATGGCGCGGAGAAGGCCCTTCAGTCCCTTGCCTTCCCTTGACTGCAAAAGGATACCCTCGACATGCTTCTGAAGGGCGATAGGTGAAGCCGGGCCGCTGCAAAACATGGTCCACTAATTACTTTACTAATTATTATTATACTAGTACTACTATCACGAATACTGCTGATATTAGTTTTGATGATGCCTCAACGACTCTTGAGGATCGGAGCATGCAGATTGGAGGTACCCCGATCTTGTTCGACATCTATGTGTTGCAAAAAACTCAAGCATTGGCTCCCCAAAAAAGCGTTTACCCCGATCTTGTTGGACATCTATGTGTTGCGAGAGATTCAGACATTCGCTCCCGGCACAAGCGTTGATCGCGATCTTGTTCGACATCTATGTGTTGCGAGAGATTCAAACATTGGCTCCCAACACAAGCGTTTACCCCGATCGTGCTCGACACCTATGTGTTGCGAGAGATTCAGACATTGGCTCCCAGCACAAGCGTTTACCCCGATCTTGGGTCTACCCAGATCTTGTTCGACATCTATGAATTGCGAGGGATGCTACAAATGGTTACCATCACAAGCATGTTCCCCCGATTTTGTTCGACATCTATGTGTTGCGAGAGATTAAAACATTGGCTTCCAACACAAGCTTTTACCCCAATCTTGGTTCGGCATCTATGTGTTGCGGGAGATTCAAACATTGGCTCCAAACACAAGCGTTTGCCCCGATCCTGTTCGACATCTATGTGTTGCGAGAGATCCAAACATTGGCTCCCAACACAAGCATTTAGCCCGATCTTGTTCGACATTTATGTGTTGCAAGATTCAAAAATTGGCTCCCAACACAAGCGCTTACCCCGGATCCTGATCGACATCTATGAGTTGCGAGAAATTCAAATCATTGGCTCCCAACAAAAGCGTTTACTTCGATCTTGTTCGACATTTATGTGTTGCGAGAGATTCAAACATTGGCTCCCAACACAGGAGTTTACCCGGATCTTGTTCGACATCTATGTGTTGCGAGAGATTCATATATTGGCTCCCAACACAGGAGTTTACCCGGATCTTGTTCGACATCTATGTGTTGCGAGAGATTCATATATTGGCTCCCAACACGAGAGATTCCAACACTGGCTCCCAACACAAGCTTTACCCCAATCTATGTGTTGAGAAAGATTCAAAACTTGGCTCGCAACACAAGCGTTTACCCCGATCTTGTTCGACATCTATGTCATACGTGTTGCGAGAGGTTCTCACATTGGATCCCAACACAAGCGTTTACACCGATCTTGCTCGACATTCATGTGGCGCGAGAGACTCAAACATTGGCTCCCAACACAATCGTTTACCACGATCCTGTTCGACATCTATGTGTTGCTAGAGACTCAAACATTGGCTCCCAACACAAGCGTTTACCCCAATCTTGTTCGACATCTATGTGTTGGGAGAGATTCAGACATTGGCTCCCAACAGAAACTGTTACCCCGATCTTGATCGACATCTATGTGTTGCGACAGATTCGAACATTGAGTCCCAACACAAGCGTTTACACCGATCTTGCTCGACATTCCATGTGTTGCGAGAGATTCAAAAATTGGCTCCCAACACAAGCGTTTACCCCGATCTTGTTCGACATCTATGTGTTGCGAGAGATTCAAGCCTTAGCTCCCAACACAAGCGTTTACCCCGATTTTGTTCGATATCTATGTGTTGCGAGAGATTCAAACATTGGCTCCCGAATCAAGCGCTTACACCGATCTTGCTCGACATCTATGTGTTGCAAGAGAATTGAACACTTGCTCACAACACAAGCGTTTCCCCCGATCTTGTTCGACATCTATGTGTTGCGACAGATTCGAACATTGGCTCCCAACACAAGCGTTTACACCGATCTTGCTCGACATTCATGTGTTGCGAGAGATTCAAACATTGGCTCCCAATACATGCATTTGCCCCGATCTGATTCGACATCTATGTGTTGCGAAAGACCCAAACATTGGTTCCCGACACGAGCATTTACCCCAATCTTGTTCGACATCTATGTGTTGCGAGAGATTCAAACATGGGCTCCTCGCACAAGCTTTTACCCCGATCGTTTTCGACATCTATGTGTTGCGAGAGATTCAAACATTGGCGCCCAACACAAGCGGTTGCCCCGAACTTGTTCGACATCTATGTGTTGCCAGAGATTAAAACATTGG